CAATAGGATGCTCCTTGCCTTTCCTTCCTTCTTCCCAAGATGGCTTTGGGCCCTAAGGCAAAGCTTAGGGTCTTCCTGATACTCAGGAAGGGGAAGTCATTTCCCTTATCAGCCTTCAGTGGAAAGTCCACCTAGTCCAGCTGTGTGGGTTGTGCACTGCATAATGTCATAGGGTGCTTTTTGTGCAGACTGTTCTGTACAAGGTTGTCCCTGGAGCTGTCACTCGATGTGCCTCAGCACTGGATACCCCTAGCTGTTAGGCACACACTGCCTCCTCAGCCCCCAGTAGTCTGCTGACCTCCTAAGACCTCTGTCCCCTTCCAGGGGCTGCAGGAAAATTCCCAGTCCCTCCTCACCCCACAGGTGACAGGGGCTGTGTCTGTCAGGAAAGAGGAATCAGGCTTCCCCTTCAGACCTGCCTTTTCCTCAGTTCCACCAGGAGAGGCAGAGCCTCCTTCCTTGACCTCTGACCCCTGACCCTGCCCTTGTGTCAGAGGTGACTGAGTCTCTGCCTTGGGTGCTCTTTCTTTTGGCCTGTGAGGCAGCAAAAGAGAAGTAGAAATCCCTCTCCCTACCCGGGCATGGTGGCACACACACCTACAATCCTGGCACTGGGGGGGCGGCTGGGGATTTAGCTCAGTGGCACCATGCCTCCCTCGCAAGCACAAGGTCCTGAATTGGATCCCTTGTGCCAGAAAAAAAAAGGAATCCCAGCACTCGGGAGGCTGAGGCAGGAGGATCACAAATTCAAGCCCAGCCCGAGCCATTTAGCAAGACCTTGTCTCAAAAATTTTAAAAATGTAAAAGGGCCTGGGGATGGAGCTCAGTGTGAAGGCCACAGGTTCCATCCCCAGTGCCACAAAAAGAGAAAGGCTAAACCCACAACTGCCTTTGCCTTTACCCCTCTGTCCTTTAGGCACTGCCAGGAGCACAGAATGACGGGAATGTCCCACTCCAATGTGCCAAGCTGAGCAGGACCATGTCCAAGGTACAGAGAGGCCCAGGGAGGGGGCTTGTTCAGGGGCATGGAGCCAGCGCTGGCCCCACTAAGCAGAAGGGGGGGCGGGGGAATTCGGTTGTCACAGTGGGAGCAGGGAGGCCGCCAGGGTAGGGGTCCTCAGGCACTGTGGGTGGAACATGAGCACTTCAGGTAGCACCCAGACGGGACACCAGGTTCTCCGGGGAAACAGAGAGATGTGTCAGGCAGAGAGGAGGGCTGCCGAGGCTCAGGGTCTGCCGGTCAGGTGGATAATTGCCCTGGGACGCCCACTCTGAGAGTGCAGCCAGCGCAGGGAGCAGGGGACCTGGGCCCCGACCACGGCCAGGCCAGTGGTGCCCCGGGAGAGTGGCTGGCTGACCCGGCCGAGACCCTGTCTGGTCACAAAGCAGCACCCATGTGCGCTGGGCCTCACCGGCACCTGCTGGTTCATCAGAGCCTGTCTCGGGCAGCAGCCTGCCCCTAAGATTGACTGACCCTCTCACCTTTGTTGTATTTATTTTTACTTCCTATTCTGGGCAAGCGACCCTGAGTACCCACTTCGGCTGTAAAGTTTCCCTTCTGAATTTCTCATTCAAGGTGGACAGAGGACTCAGGCTCCAGGAGCAGGAGGCCAGGAGGCCCACTGAGGCAGGGACAGTGGGGCACATGGGTTCTGCCTGGTGGAGAACAGAGCCTGGATCAGGCCCAGCTTCCCGATCCAACGATCACCTGCGGTGAGTGGAGACAAAGGAGTGTGTCACATGCCACCTGGAACCCGCGTTGGTGTCCTGGTTTCTTCGACATAAGCCACTCTAAGGCAGAAAGGGCACTGTCAGTCACAATGGAGGGGACGGAAACCCAGGCGTGACAGCTGGGGTCAGCTGGATGGGCAGGCAGGTGGGAGCCAGACCTGAGGTTCTGAGCAGAGGCTAGGGACAGCTGGGAATAGTCAGGAGCCTTGTGGAGCTTGAGCCTCTGTCCCCAGTGACATCCCTAGCCCCTCTGTCAGCCTGCCTGGGGCGGAGCTCAGCGGGGATGGCCATGTCACAGAAGCCATGCAGCCAGATAGGCCCAGGAGGGCTGCTCAGGGCTCCTCGAGAGTCCTGCCCTGCAACAGCCTCGCCAAGATGCATAGAAATGAGAGGCTCTGCGCTGGGCACTGTGCAAGTGGCTTCAGAGGGTCCAGAAGTCCAGCCTGCGTCCAGGGGTTGTTGGGATGAGGAGTCTTTCACCAACATCACTGCTGTGGAGGGTGGGTGAAGGTCAGGGCTGTCCCCTCCCCTGAGCCGCATCCTGGGGCATACATATTCCCAGGAAAGCCTCAAACTTTTGGAAAAAGTTTTATTGCCAGGCATGGTGGTGCACGTCTGTATTTACTGCACTCTGGGAGGCTGAGGCAGGAGGGTCAGAAGTTCAAGTCCAACCTGGGCAATGAATAACCTGTCCTACAATTTAAAAAGGAAAATGAAAAGGGCTGGGGATAAACTCAGTGCAAAGGCCACAGGTTTAATCCCAGGTACTGCAAAAGAAGAATGTTGTGGTTTTTATTGACATGGAACAATTGTGGATATTTTGGGGCAGGGCGCCATGTTTCCATCCTTGTATAAACACTGTGTCATGATCAAACCAGGGCAATCAGCAAATTACAGCCTCAGCCTGTTGTCACTGCTTTGATGATCGAATATCCGAGATCCTCTTTGAACACAGGACACACTGCTGTCAGCACCCCACTGGGTCCTAGAACCCCAGACCTTAGCCTTCTTAATTCTGCTGTTTCCCCTGACCAGACTCTCCGCACTCCCGGGGGTTTTTAATATGGTGGGTGAAACACACATGACCTCAAGTGGCTCTGTGGAGCCTGGTCACACAGACGTGACTATGGGGACTGCTCGAGCTTGTATCTGGCCCCACCTGGCAAGTCCCGTGTAGTTGGCAAGTGATCCCATCTCCTTGTCCCTAGGCCTTGCCTCTGACACGCGGCACTGAGGTGTACGTCGGTATAGTCTGGGCAGTGCTGCAGAAGGGATCACTCCCTGTGCCAGGCATGGAGGCCTGCTGTGTGCTCATGACCATAGGAGCTGGTGGAGGCTGTGCTGGCTGGGACCCTGACTCGGCCCCAGCCTCTGGTCTGGCAATTCAGTCTGAGAGGACAAGAACAAGTCACGTACCCCAAACGGCCCACATGCACGGAGGAAGTGGGCAGGCAATAGGTATCCAGGAAGGGATACACAGGCGCCCCTCCCTGTTCCCAGCCCTTCCAGGCCCTTCCTGCCCCAAGTGATGCTGTCCCCAGTGGCTGGCTCCTTCTTGTCCCACAGCTCTGGCTCCACTGTGCTCCCCACCCACTCACTCCCAGCAATGCTGTGTGCCACCCTTGTATTTTCTTCATGGCACCTGCATCCAACTGCAGTCACCCTGTTTATTAACCCTGGCCTTTTCAAAACTCCCTACCACCTTCAGCGTTCTATCCTCTGCCCCCAGCCGTGGCTGTTCTAGGGTCCTAGAGAAGGACCAAGAGCTCTCAATGTGCTGAGTGGGCACCTCTGCCACACACGAGCCCCCGACATGGCTCCAGCAGCCTTGAGCCCCAGCCCCGAAAGCCTGAAGGTCTTGGTGCCTTCGATGGGCGGGCGATGTGATGTGTGCAGCAATCAGAAGGCACTGCTTCTGCATAATTATGCCTGATCACCTCGGAGCAATGAGGGCTGATTGCAACTCTGAGGCAGCCATGGCCTGATTTTAGGGTGGTAGGGCCAGAGCCCTCCCTCAGGGGCCCCACGAGGGTAATTGAGGCAGGGCTGATTGTGCTGGAAAGCAGGAGGGGATCAAGCCGTGAGAACAGGCCATGTCACCCTCAAACAGGACCACATTTGCTAAATTTGTTTCCCATGCAATTTGGTGATTACCCTGATTTCTCTTTAGCTGAGCTTGGTGCTTGCAGTCCAGGGTGTCAGGAGGGCCCTGCTCAGGAGCAGAAGGTGTGGGTGATGATGATTTATGAACCACTATCAGCGCCCTGGGAACGAATGGAGAGTGTCTTGGGCGACCTGTGTGTACCGCAGCTTCCTAGGCTCTGGCTGAGGATGACACCAACTTCACAGGGCCCTGGGGTGGCCAGACGAGTTCCCTCACTGGCAGGGCTCACAGTGACCAAACAACTTGGAGTGCACGAAGGGCGTGGCCCAGCCCTGCCTGGACACGTGGGCATTGATGAGCATTCCCGGGACACACCCCACCTGCTGTGGCCATCTCTGGACACCAGAATCCGCACAGCCAATCACCACCCTCAGCCTCTGGGATAGGTGTGGCCAGTCTGCAGCAATAAAATGAGCCAGACCGGGTAGAGTTCCGCACCTGCAGAGGCTGCCCCAGCACCTTCTCCACTGTGAGAGTAGGCAGGAGTCTGCCGGCAAGCCCCCCAAGCAGGCTCCTCAGCTGCACAGCCAATTCCATAGGGCTTCCAGGATGAGAAAGTGTTTCTGTCCACGGCAGAGTCCCAAAATGACTCGGGCTCCTGGGCTCAGAATCTGCATTTAACAAGGTCCCAGGATTCCTGCTCCACCGTGATGGGCCGGGAACCAGGCTGTCACCCAGGCCCTTCTATGAAGGAGTGCTACCTTCAGTGGGGTTCAGCAGAGGTGTCTTTTAGTCTCAGCTGAGGACTGTGATGTGTCACCAGGGCCGAGACCCCATCCCAGAGACCTAGCATCTGTCCTGGGGGCATCAGAACACCTGCAGCCACTATACTCCCTGTTTTGTTGTTTTGAGACAGGCTCTTGCTATGTAACCCAGGCTGGCCTCGAACTCGCAGTGATCCTCCTGCTTCAGCCTCCGGAGTGCTGACTTTCATGAAGTTCTCAGGTGCTAAGGCCACCACCCCTGGTGTGACCCAACCCACGGCCCTGCCAGGGACTGCAGGCAGGGGCCCCAGGATTGTTTCCCCCAAGCTGTCCGGAGTGTCCTGTGTCACACCGCTGCAGCCACCCAATCCCCTCACAGCAAGAAAGCCCGGAGCCAGGAGCTTTAGCAAAAATGTTTAATCTCTCCTTAATGTGTGTTTATGTACAAGTACTAAATCTGAAGAACAGTAAAATAGGAAATCGCCGTATATTTACACATCTGCGGGAGGAGTGCCGGTCAGCGGTGCTGCTTCCAGAGAGGCAGCGCTGAGGGCCGGGAGCTCAGCCCGTACAAGTGACGGTTCTTCTTTTGGGTGGGGGCTCTGCGGCGTTAAAGGACAGCTAATTGTGGGCTTTGTCTTAAAAATATCTTTCTCTTTCTCTAAATATATCTATTCTAGCTTGTGTAGCACCAACGAGTGAGCCATCAGATCCGGGCTGGGAGGGACACGGGGGCAGGGGCCCTCAGCAAGGGAATAGGAGGGCAGGGGCTGGGCACTGGGCCCCCATGCAAGTGCAGGGCACTGGCCGTCCTGGGACTCCATGCTGCGCATGCTGGGGCACCCAACCTCCACTTCTAGGCAGCCCACTGTGGACCCCAGGCCACAGGAGAATAGGCAGGTGGCTGGGTGTACAGGGACAGCTAGAGCTATTGGTGCCCAGGCACTCCAAGGCTGGGTGTGGGAAAAGGGGCCTAGTGCCAGGAGGGTCGGCAGGGGCTGGGAGAAGCAGGGCCATGGCAGGCAGCGATACCAACAGAACCTGTCCCGGCCTGGGTGGCAGAGGTGGTCCCAGGCACCTCACCACCTACCATACGGTGGGCTCTCGGGCCACCTCAGAGCTCGGAGCACCCAGCAGGAGGTGATCAGGGTGCTTGGCCCAGCCCCTAGGGTGCTACTGATTGGGGACCATGGGGATTAATGACAAGAGGAAATGAGGGCCTAAGCCCAGGACCAGGCAGGTGGTGTGGGCCCCACGGGGACACTCGAGGGAGACCTGCTGTCCTTGGACACAGCATGCTTACAACCAGCTGGATCAATGCATGTGTAAACAGATTTGCTAAAGTGCTTTCGAACAGACGCCATGAGCTCGGCTGTGGCCAGGGCCCCTGAGGGAAGTCATACTAGGCTGGGCTGGGCAGTCACACCCTCCTACTGCTCACTGATGCTCCACATGTGGATGAGGCCACCTGGCTGGACTGAGCCGGGTAGCAGCGGCCACGAGACCCAGGGAAGGGGAGGGGTGGAAATACTCTGGAAAGTGTGTGGGAACCGAGGGGCCTGCATGGCCTAGGTGGGACTGGAAGAACTGTGGGCTTCCACTTGAAGCCAGTATCCAGGGAAGACTTTGGGGTAAACTGAAGCACAGCCAGGAGGTGTCATAATGGACGGGATACACCAGGGAAGGGAATCCTGGAGGACAAAAGGGCATTATCTCCAGCTTGGCTGGCCTCAGCTCTGGCCCAAGGGGGGCTAGTAGGGCTGGAGGCAGCATGGAGTGGGGTGCCCAGGCCCTCCTTGGCGCCCCGTGGGGTGGAAGAGCTCCCTGAGTCAGAAGTTCACCAACCACACACCAACCCCCTCACAAGGGAGCAGCTCCTGACCTGGCATCCCAGGAGCCCCGACTGGCTCACACTGCTTGGGGGAAGGGGGGGACCCCCAGGCTGGCAGCCTTCGGACACAAGGCATGCTGCCCTCGGTGCTGGGGCTGGGTCTGGCCACAGTTAGCTGTCCCTTAAAGTCCATTAGAATCTTTAGTACCATTGAAAAAGTGAACTTGAAAAGGGGGTGGGCTGCTTGTTTGCTTGTACAAGTGACTGATTAATTTAAAAAGAAAAAAACATTGAAAAAGGGTCTAACCACCTCTAGATTCAACACTTGCAGTTTGAAAAAGATCAACTCAGACTAAACGCTAGCACAATCATGCAAATCCACAGGCCCTACGCACCCTGGAAGCTCTCAGGGGCCGGCAGCAGGTTGGGGCTCTCGACTCCTTTGTCCACAGCAAGCGTGGGGCACCGGGTGGAGGCGGCCAGGCTTTGGGGCTCTGCTCTGGCCCCAAAGACCCAACTACTCTCTCCACGCCACCTGGTAGTGTTTTCCCACCACCTGGGTTTTCTTCTAAATTGCTTTTCAGAATTCTCCTTTTGTAACTGTACAGTACCCCACTGGGGCTGGAGGTGAGGCCAGAGCCACATATATATATACACACACACATATATATATATGTACAGGGTTCCGTTAAAAACTTGTTTTCTTGCTGCTGAGGGCAAAGGGGCGGCAGCCAACTCCAGGCCCTCAGACCCTGCCTGTTGTCACAGCCTGAGCTGTCCAGGCTGGCAGGGGCCAAACACTACACCCTCACCGCCCAGGCAGAGGGTAGTGGGATTTCCTGTTTCCCTTTAAAAACAAAAACAGTCCCCAGTGTCCCACTGCTCAGGAAGGGCCAAAGTGGAAGCCGTGGTGGGAGGGGGCTCGGCCCACTTTGGGCAACTGTGCAGGAGCAAGAGGAGAGGGGAATAAATAACGGGAACATGCGCTCTGTAGCTGGAGCCCCAGGCCCGGCGGCTCCCAGAGGCATAGCCCTGAGGACAGAGGGGGTTGCCTGTCTGTCCGTCCACGAGTCCCTCGGAGCTTGGGGAGCCCCTCCATAGGAGGGGACAGAGCCTCCTTCGTAGGTGGACGTGGCGCTCCAGCCTCGGCCGCGCAGAGCACGCGGTGAATCTGAGGACGGCAAGGGGTGGTGAGCGTGGGGTGCTAGACGTCGAAGGCAAGAGGGCTTTGGCTCATCTTGCCGGCCCTGGGTGTGTGCCCCTCCCACCAGCTGCCAGCCAGGCCCCTAATGCTCAGACTTGGTCCGCTGGTGGCAGCCGGGAAGGTGCTGCCTGACACCCAGCCCTGTGTCCTGCCTCTGGGAGACAGGCAGGCTACTGCCCTTCCCTGGGGGCTCTGACCCCAGCCTCACCCCATGGAGGCCACCTCTACTCCTGTGAAGGACCCCAGGCAGCTCTCACAGGCAACAAAGGTCCCTGGGCAGGGCTGGCTGGCTGCCCTTTGCGTGCCCTGGCCCGGGAAGGCCATCCTGGGCAGAGGTGGCCAGGCAGGTGCTGTCACACCCATACTGATAAAAGCCTGGCCATGCCATGAGGGCCCAGGAAGGGAGGCCAGGAGGATGGTGGTCGTGTGCCAGCCCCGAGCACCTCCTGGATCTCTGCACGGTGGCGCAGCTGTCTCCAGGGGCCCCTGCTCCACAGCCCTCTGGCTCCGCCTCCTGCTGGGCGGTCACCAACCAGGGGCTCAGCTGCTCAGGGCCATCGTGTCCACCACCTGCTCCAGCTTGCTGCGCAGCCGCTGCCGCCGTGCCTGCTCATCCTTCTCCAGTGCTCCCAGGATCTGCAGATGAAGAGAAGTCGGGGGCAGGACTCAGGAGTGGCCCAACAACAGCCACCCCAATCACCGGCGCTGCATGACACCGGGCCCTTCCACACGTGGCCACACCGCCGTCCTCCCTCCTGACCTTCTCTGCACCTTTATGTTGAGCACAGGGCTCCTCTGCTCCCTGGTCCTTGTAGTCACTGAGACCCCAGTGCTGGTCTTTCTCCTCTACCCTGGCTGTCACCCGGGATTCCCCCTACCGCAGCTTCTGAGTCTGTCCCCTCCTCTGCCCCTGACTTGTCTCCTGGCTGCTGCTCCCTAGTCTTGGCCTGAAAGCCCCTCTCTCAGCTCAGTGGCGACCTCCAGATGGGATGGAGTGCTTGGAGCTCTGCTGCCCTTGAATCTAAAGACCTAGACCTCAGACTAACATCTTCTATGGCCTCCCCACCTCCAGCCAGATGCCTGTCCCCTCACTTGGGCCACCCAGAAGGTACCTGGGCTCACTAGCTGAGTGCAGCAGGCAGGCCTGGCCCTCTACTTTGGAACCGCCAGGGCCCCTGCCTGGCTCAGGAAAGTGAGCTGAGTGACCGGAAGCCTGCACAGCCAGAGACGGTTCCCTCACCAGAACAGCCCTGGCCAGCCCCAGGGCATCCTGCAGATGGCTACCCAGCCCACTCTGGCCTCAGTGTCTTGGCACTGACTGCGCCTGCCCTGCCTGTGGCCTGTGAACACAGCCCAGAAGTCGGTCATCCTGTGTGCAGAAACGGAAGCTCCGCAGCCTCACCCTAAGTCAGCACAAGACATGGAAGGAGCCGTTCAACCTGGAGACGTCCCCGGCCCCGTGAACCCTGTCACAAGTCCTGCTGGAGACAGGAGAGGTGCAGCCACCCCTCTCCCCCATCCCTCGCCGTCCCCACTGACCCGGGAGGGAAAGGGAAGGGCCCAGCAGAGGCGGCTGACCCTCCACCTACACGCGGCTCACCTCATCCTTGTACTTGGTGATGTAGGAGTAGATCTCGTGCAGGGCGCTCATGCTGTTGAACTGGCTCAGGTGCAGCCGGGACTGCTCGGCCAGGTAGGCACTCATGTCCTGGTCACTGATGGCAGGCATCTTGGCGATGTCAGCATAGTATCTGCAGTGGGCCAGGAGGGAGTGAGGCCCTGCCCCCAGCCCCGCCCCCAGCCCCCCCAGCCCCGCCCCACCCCCACCAGCCAGCCCCCTCTGCACCTCTCCACCCAGCTCTTGTAGTTGGGGATGTCCTTGGCATAGAGCAGCTTGTTGGAGGGCGAGTCCTTGCCCAGCTTGTGTTCCGACGTGGAGCAGGAGTCCATGAAGGTCTGGGCCACAACTGACAGGCAGGCGTCCGTGATGCTGTTCTTGTGGATGTCGAACACGAACTGCGGGTTCTTGATCACGTTCACCCAGAAGCGCAGGGGCAGGCTGTGAACACGAGGGCCCAGGGGTTCAGCTGCCATCCTCGGGCCCCCACGTCAGGCCTCCAGCCCACAGCCTCCTGACCCCAGCTTCCAAAAAGAGTGCAGCACCATCTGACAGAAGCAGGCCCCTGGGTGGGAACTGTACCTGCAGCCCGGCGCCTCACACAGCCTCACTCCCATGGTCGGGGATGTGTGCGTCACAAGCGTCAGGCAGATCTGGGCCCTGCACATTGTCACTGCCTCTGGCCTGCATGCTGTGCAGGGACCCACAGCTCAGCTCTGGGCCCCTGGACACACTGCTAAGGAGCCCCCTTGCCCTGGGTCCACACCACCACTGCAGAGATGGGCATCACAGGCCACCAAATGAAGCTGAAAACTGAGGTCCTTGGTCATCCAGGCACGTGCTAAGTGCTCAGCAGCCATATGTGGCTAGTGGTTCCTGGACACCTTGGTCCAAAACCCTCCAGATGCAGGGCTGTCCTGGCTGGAGGTGACTGAGAGGGTGCTGCTCGTAGGTGCTTCTGCATAGCCCAGGAGAACTGGCTGGGGCGGGGGGAGCGGGTGTAGGCTGTACTCCAGGTTTGGGAAACACCCCACCAGAGTCCCGGGGGCAGTGGGAGGGAAAAGCCAAGGCTCCCAAAAGGTTGAGGTAAGGGATGAGGCTTGGGCTCAGGAAGATGGGGTGTGGCTGCTGGCTGGAGGGCACACAATAGTAGGCATGCGCTGGGTATGCCTGAAAGAGGGAGGAGAGGCTATGGAGGGGAAGTGAGATCCTGGAGGAAGAAGCAGCAGCCCCTTCTGCTGAGACAGCGTCCAGCCATCCCTGACCAACCCCCCATCCACACAATCCTCCTGCAGGCCTCCAGATATGCTCAGAAGGGCTCTGCCTGGGGCAGGAGCCTGGCCTGTGGGGCCAGGGCTGGGGCTGTGCAGGGCTGGTCCCCCAGGTGCGCCAGTACCCAAAGCCAGGGGACTGACCACGACAGGCACTCTGCAAAGGGAGCCACTTGGGGGCCTGGGTATCTCTTGTGACACAGGCCTAGCCCCGGGCCGGGTATTTAGCTCAGTGGTCTGCTGCCTGCCTCGCAAACTCAAGGACCTGAGTTTGATCCCCGGTACCAAAAAAAAAGAACAAAAAAACCACACAAAACAGGCCCAGCCTTGCAAAGCCCTGCTGCCTCTCCTAGGTGCACGGTGCAGCCCAGGTTCCTGTGAGACCCCTGCCTCTATATGCAGTGCCCTGTGGCCTTGGCAACTGACACAGCGTTACGGTTTATATCTACAGGTCCTCCAAGAGCCTCATGTGCACATAAATAGGTCTTTTGAAGGCAGCTGGATTATGGCGGTTCAAAGCTGACTTGCTGTTAGGAGGCGGGGTCTGGCCAGAAGAGCCGCTCACTGGGGGCGTAGCCTGGAAGGGCGCATCTTCCTCCCCAGCCTCCTTTCACTCTGCTTCCTGCCCACCATGTTGGGAGCAGCTCTCCTCCGCCAGGCCCCTCTGCCATGCTGCCCTGCTTTGGAGCCAGCCAACCAAGGGCTGAAACCTCTACAAACTCAGCCAAAATAAATCCTTCCCCTCTTAAACTGTGGGTGTCTGGTACCGGGTCCCAGTGACAAAGGCAGTCTCTGTGCCTCCATGAGCTATCCCTGGCCCAGGCTGCTAAGTGCCACACACTGGTGAGCACCACAGCGCCTGTGTCATCCTCACTGCCACCCCGCCAAGCCCCGTCTCTCTCACAGCAGCCCCCGCACAAGGGGGTTTGCTCAGTTGGAGCAAGGACATGCCTAAACCCAGGTGGGAAAGGCAGATACCCTGGGTACAGCGGCTCAGCCCCTCACTAGAGCAGGGACACAGCTGTCCAAGCCACGTGGGATGGCCCCCACCCTGCACACTTACCAGTTGCTCTTCCAGGTATGGCGCACGTCGGCATCATGGATCTGGTGCTTGTCAGCCTGTTCGTCTAAGAAGTCAAACATGTACTTGATGGCCAGCGGCAGGGCCGAGCCCCGGTGTGCTGTGCTGAAGATGGTCTCAAACAGGTCGTCCACGAACTTCTGCAGTGTGCCCTGAAGATGGGTAAGGGTGCAAGGCTCCAGTGCTCCACCAGGCACCAGCACCCCGTGGGGTGCCTGAGTAGGCCCTGACTCTGCTCAACACACTCGGCAGGGGCCTTGCCATTCCCACATGGCTGCCGCTTACCTTGGTGGCCAGCAGCCGGGTCAAGTAGATTTCTGAGACCATTTTGCTACCTCGGTCACCTTCGCGCTGGTCCAGGTGGTCATGGTTCTTCACTAGGTGCCACAGCTTGGTGCCACTCTCCAGGTCGGGTGTGATCATGGGGGTGCGCGAGCGCAGGCTGTCAGGGCTGCTGGCTGTACGTAGCATGCTCTCTGCAGAAGCCGGGCCTGTCAGTGGGTGGCCTGTGTCCCCACAAACACGGCTGTACCCAGGCCCTGCCTCATCTGAACCCTGGGACCTGCATCCTCCTCTCTGGGCTGCTGGGGACAGCTGAGGAGTCCGGGAGGCAGCGTTACAGGGTGGACACACGGCATGGGGAGTGGCACAGCCTCCACCAAGGGCAGGCTGTGACCATGTCTCTGAGTCTTGACATCTGCCCAGGCCCAGGGCCGCCCCTGTCCCTACCCAGCCCCTCACCGTATCTGCTGAGGGACTTGGTGAAGGTGGAGGAGTTGGAAATGTTGTAGGCGGACGTCTGCTTGGGCACCAGTGCCACTGATGACCCATCTGTCACCTGCAGGCAGAGGGCAGGGACAATGACTCCACAGGATGCTATGGAGATGCCCTGCCCACCCCGGGGCCCTGATTGACACTGCTGCCCCAAGCCCAGAGAGGGGTCACCTCACTACTCTGAGCCAGGCTGCCAGAACAGTGCCCACTGGGGCCCAGGACAGTGCACCCAACACCTCTGCCCCTCCTCGCCCCCTGCTGCCAGCCCCAGGCTGGACCGTCTTCTCCCCAGTGGTTCTGACATTGGCGCCAGTGATGCTATGGTGCCTGCAGGAGGCACAGCCCAGGCTCCTGCCAGACAGGGTCACCTGGTAGTGGGCCAGAGTGTTCAGTCTCTTCCAGTCGTTGTCAATCTTGGTGGTGACATCCTCATCCTGCAGGATGATGCGCGCCATGCGGCCCTGGCGCCACTCTACGGGGAGTGGGGAGTGGGGCACTGGAGGGCATGGCCACAGGGCCTTGCTCCCTCCTGACCACCATCCACACTGAGCCCCGCAGAAGGCGGGGGGTCCTGGGGGCGCTAGTGAAGGCTTCGAACAGGCAGGGCCCCAGCCACTAGCTCAGCCCCAACTACCGAAGCCCAAGCCTATCACGGTGGCCCTGATCCCAGCCCCTCCAGCCACAGACCCCGGAGCCCTGCCCTCCGCCACACCTTCCCTCAGGGCCCCCAGGACTGCCCGGCCCCAGGTGCCCCATCTCACAGCCTACACCCTGGCCGCAGAGCCCAGCCCTGTTGTCCTTTCCCCCAGGGCTGCCCACAGACCACACCAGTGAGCACTGAGGCCCGCCTAGCTCCCCACCAAGCTGAGCCCTGTGCCCTCAACATACCCTGCCCGTGTCTCAGCACACACAGGGCATCCTGCTGGAACCCAAGCCCTGTGGTGGCCCCTCTGCTCACCGAGGTCCATGTCCCCAGCCTTGGGCCGCTGGGAGTAGGGTACTCCCTTATACACGGCATCCAGCAGCTTCTCCTTGACCTGTGTCACTGTGTCGCAGTTCAGCCCCTTCACTGGCACCTCGGGTGCATTCTCATTCTCGGGGTTCACGCAGTTCAGGGTCTATGGGGGAGGGGAGGAGCAGCATCAGCCCCCACCTCTTGGCCTTGCTGGCTGGGGGCGGGAGAGGGAATGGGGCCAGGGACAGGAGGGCCTGCCACACTCACCAGCGTCTTGTAGTCAATCTGCTGTCGGATGAGCTTGTCCTCACTCAGGGAGTAGCGGGCCTCACCCGTGATGGCATCGATGGGGCCCTTCTCCATCTGCTGCTTGATGGCGCAGTACAGCATGAAGAGGGGCTCCCCTGCGCACTCCTGTGGAGCCAGGGACGTGAGGCACGGCCAGGACCCCGGGCTCCCCCAGCCCACAGCCCTCCCAGCAAAGACGGACAGCAACTCTTTTGCCTCATAGGAGGCAAGTGTCTCCCTGCACCAGAACCCAAGGGAGAGTGAGCAGTACGAGATGCACAGCGGAGCCCTATATAAGCCATGGCCAGGACCCACAGGAGCATGGAGAGGACACACATGGCCAGGCAGGAGTGAAGGGTGCATGGCACCCTGAGGCCTCCCCTGGCCGCTGGCCAGAGTGCACTCTTAGAACGCTCATTGGCAGGGCCATGACCCCAGGGGACAGCAGGAGGCACCAGCACCAGGGCACAGCAGTCCACAGTCCGGGCCTCGAGGCTGGCAGGGTGGCCTGGGCACGTGGAGAGGTCTGCCCTGGCTCTGCTCTAACCTGGGCCCTTGGACCCCACACTGCTGCCACCTCCTGTTCCTGCCTCAGGGTCTCTGTGACTGCCATCTTGAGACCAAGACTCTACCCAGGCCCATGGCCCTTCTGGACCTGCAGTCCTTCATGCTGCTGCCCAAGGGCCAGGCCCTTGGACTCATCTGTAAATGTAGAGATCCAGCACCCAGCAAGGAGCAGGGCGAGGTTCCAGACACAGCTGACCAAATGGAAGGAATGAAAAGGTTCACATCAGCACAGTGAAATGCAAAGGGCCAGCAGGCAGCGCTCATCCAGGTCCTGCAGCTCTCAGAGGCTGCCCCTGACCAGTGACACCTCCACCTGCCGTGTCACCGGCAGGTGAGTGCCCAGCTCCCGCCTGGGCCTGGCAGATGGGCAGCTTTGGCCCTGTAACCAGATGCTCTGGGCACCTCGTTAGCATCTGAGGCAATTAAAGAGACAGCTGCTAAGGAACGGTCACAAGCGTAGATCATCCTGAGACCTTCCAACAACACGTCTGTCTCTGAAATTATGTTTCATTTGCAAACTTGGCTTCATTAAGTCAGCCGGGAGGGAGGAAGGGAGGGAAAGCAGTTCGGATGCAGAGCTATCCATGAGGGCACTTCCCGGGAATGCCATCTGACAAGGGGGACCCAGGGACAAGAGGATTCCCAGGCCAGAACTGTACAGAAGGTGAAAAGAGCACAGCTGGGTTTAAGGTCAGGGGAGGGAGGTCACTGCCCCAAGGTCAGTGTGGATGAAGTCGAGATTCAAACCCAGTTCCATTTGACCCCAATATCCCTCCTCTAAAAGCCAGGGCATTCTCTCTGGACCCAGGCTGTTTCCTCTGAGGCCAGGCTGCAGCCACTGAGGAATCTGAGATTCCCGAGAGGCCAGGGAGGAGGGAGGCCCAGAACCTAGGGCCTCCAACTCCTCCAAGCCCTAGCTGCAAATGTGCAGAAACTGCCTAAAAAGCACCGCTTTAGCTGTGAGTGGTGCTACATGCCTGTAACCCTTGCACTGTGGGAGGCAGAAACAGGAGGATTCTAAGTTTTAGTCCTACCTGGACAATTTAGTGAGAACTGGTCTCAAAATTTAAAAAATAAAATAAAATAAGGAAAATGAAAGAAAAAGGGGGAGAGCTAGGGATGTAGTTCAGTGAAAAAGCTCTGGGTTCAATCCCCAGTACCACAAAAAATAAAAATATGAAAATGTCATTTTTCATGTAATAAGATAATCCAATTAAGGGCATTTTTTGATAAATACTGGTAGGTTAAGTGCTTTTCCATTTGTTGGGAAAAGCAAAACAGATCCCTACCTCATAACACATATGAGTGCAAATCATTTCTTGGCTATCACAGGAGCCTAAAAAATGAAAGTAGGCATCTTAAAAAAAAAAAAAAACTGGTATATTAAAGAAATAACCCTAGAAAAATGTTCAAAGGATAAAAAAAAAATTGCAAACTTTGTTTCACAGAAAAAAACAAAAGGAGCTGATTAAGCACATGAAAGGATGCTCACCTTGCTAAAAGGAATGCCAACGAAAGCAATCAACTATCTACATGCACTTACCAAACTGGCAAAGGTGAAAGTGCCTGATAAAGCAGCGCTAGCCCCGGCCAGGCGAGCCTTGGAGCTGGCCTGGGTGCACTTGGGGCAGGACTCAGTAGCACGCATCCCAGCTGAAGTGAGTGTGCCGACCCTGCACTTGTTCTACTGGAACCCCCCTCGCTGGCATTCAGCAAGCCAAGCCCACTGCCCCAGAGGCTGGCAGGGGTGCTGGTCACTGTGGGCAAGGAGCCGCTCTCCCGACACCTCCCTGTGTGACTGGGAATCCACAAGCACCATCCACACCATGGAATGTTATGTGACAAACACCCATGTCCTCACCTGCAAAGGTAGGTCTGACGCTCTGCCTAAGGGGCGGATAGGAGGGCGTTGAGCACAGTGAGGAACAACGGACAAAATCACCTCTATAAACAGTTGCTTTAGTTCAGAAACCAGACCGAGGACATGCACCACAACAATGATCATCTGCAGCTCTAGGGGTGGGGAGCTCATCCTTTATCCTCACCTTGTGGTGAGCAGTGCTAAGGCAGCATGGTGGACCACTGCTCTAGGTAAAGCTTTGTTTCTAAGGACAGCAAGGAATGCAGAAAATTTTTTGTGTTGTTTAAAAATAGCATGTGACCTCACAGTTCATTCATGTGATAGACTGGATTTGCTTCCTTTTTTTTTGTTTTTCTTTTAAAGTTTATTTTACATGTGTCTGGTATATAACGAACACTTTCCTTATGAAGTCGGTATGTGTACCTAACACACCCTAATTCCTTTTCCACCTCCTTTCCTTTCCCATCTACCCCTTTCTTGATCCTCCTGCTATTTTTTTTTTTAAAGCAGACAATATGTACATGTATCTTATATGGAACAAAACATTCCAGGGAGACACATTCCCAGATCCCCACCAATGCCTGCCTGAACCCACGGACAGTACCAAGCCCAAGAGCCGCATTTCCCCTACATGGTCCAAGCCTATTCTGCACCAAGTGTAAGCACCCTGCCACATGTGCAGTAAATGGCTTGGTGTCTCCTGTTTCAGGGGACCCCTTGCTGAGTCTGAGAGGCTCAGTGCTCTTTGCTCAGGTTGTGCACCCACAAGTGTAGGGCCTTTCTTATCTAACTAAGCACCCATCACTCACACATTGTAGCTGTAACTTTGCAGTGTGAAGTGCAATGGCAAACCCAGAATGAATTTCTTTATCCTCCTTCTTAATTTTGTGGACAGAAGACTCATCCTTACTGTACACCTCAGCAACTTCAATGGATGCTTCCTGCTTTTCCTTGTTACGTCAGGAAACTGCACTTAAAGGATGAACTTTACAGCCTCTCTTGGACACATCTGAAGGGCCAGCCTCACTGCCTCGTGCCTGTAGTAGCTCAAACAGGTCACCCGAACCCCAGTATGTGATACTGCAAGTCAACTACCCAGTCACCAGAACAGCAACTGAGTGACCAATGGTGGGCAGCAAATGGTGGATGCTCGGGACGAAGGGATGGCTCACATTCTGGAAGGGATGGTATACAAGTCCACCCTGCTGCTCAGAGCGGCGCACGATTTAAAACCCATGCACTGTTAATTTCTACAGTGCTCCACTGAACAGCCAAAAGCTGCAGGCGACAGTGGGTCACCGACACACCTGTAGGGGCACTGCTGTATGGACCACACTTTGCTGACAGACATGGGAAAACCACACTGTGCTGAGTGACACGTGCCAGTCACAGAAGAGACACCCAGGATGGTTCTGCCTCCAGGGTTCCCTAGAGCGGAAAGTAGATAAGAAGGGGCTGCTGGGGCAGAGGGCAGGGATGAGGAACTGGGTGTTCAGTGCAGACAGATTCAGATTTAGAAAATAATTCTGCAGATGGATGGTGGAAATAGCCACATGGTATTATGAATGCACTTGATGCCATGAAACTGTGCATTTAAAAATCGTGAAGATGGTTAATTTCATGTGTATTTTATCATGATAAAAAAATACTCTTCATTACAACAAGCCAAGGGTGGTGGTGCACACCTGGGAGGCTGAAGCATGAGGATCGAGCCACTTACTGAGGCAATGTCTCAAAATTAAAAAATTTTAAAAGGGCTGAGAATATAGCTTAGTGCAAAGGCACTGGGTTCAATGCCCAGTACCACACATACATAAAAAGAAAGAAAAGTATCTCGTGTCCATTCTACTAAGCGTCACAGCTCAGCACCACAACTGTTTGCCCTCATGACCTCATGGCTGGTGGACTGCAACTCACTGCCTGCCCAACCTCATGGGACAGCATCATCTCCACTTCACTAGCCAGGAAGGATTGCACTTCAAACTCCTAGACACAGTTGCTATTGACCACACTTCCTGTTTGCACCAGGGTAAACCTGAAACTCTTAAGCCAACTCATTGTGGGTCAGAGACTGTTGTATGTGAGTGATCCCTAAACATGAGAGATTCCTGTGAGAGATCTCTGTATGTGAACGATCTCTATACATAAGAGATCCCTATACACAAGAGATCTCTGTACTTGAGCGATCCCTGTACTTCAGACTCAATTTCACTGGGAGCCAAGAGCTGCTCTAGAATGTCTATCTTTAATAAAAGTTTCTGGCAAAAGCCAAAGGCTGGAGGTGTGGATGGGTGCAGGTGCAGGCCCAGGCCAGGCTCTGGGCCCCTCCTGGGTGGGAGTCAGCCAGCTTTCCTGAGGTCAGAGCCCCAGCCCAGGGGCAGTCAGGCAACAGAATCCAGCCCCGACAGGGTCTCAGGCCGGCTGTGCTACGCTGCACCCTGTCCTTCCAAGTGTGGACTTGGGATCCAGCAGGGTCAGCAGGTGGTTTGGCCCTGCTTGGCCTGGCTGTAGCTCCCTTTCAGCTGCACCTTGCACTGCTTCTTGGGTTTACAGAGCCCAACTTGGCAAGCACAGAGATGAGTTACACCCCTTTACAGGCTGGTTCTCACTGACAGGAAGGACTCACCTATGAGCTATCTGACCAGTCCTGCACCGTAACATCATTACCACTTCCTGGGCACCAGAAGCATGCCAAGGACTGCTGCATATACACAGCTGCACGTGTCACCTCTCCAGGGCCCACGATGCCCCTCCCTTACCACCTGCCCTCTGCTCACTCCCATCCACCCCACACCTGTACCTCTCATCTACCATCATCTCCTCCCAACCAGCAGATGCCCTGCAGGACTGTGCTCATGCACAGATCTGCAAGGCTGCCATGCTGTCACCTCTGAGCCAGCCGCCTGGGGGGGCAGCAGCATCCTTCCGAGGCAGGATGGAAGTCCCAAAAGCCTGAGAGGCGGGGATGCTGGACTCAGGTGATCACTAGCACCTGCCCGCTAAGCTACACGCTGGTTACCTATACCTCAGAGCAGCAAGAGGGGCCTTGGAGAGCAGTAAGGGGCATGTGCTACACTGACCATAGGCCACAGTTGATGCAGGGTCCCTCCACCATGCCTTCCGGCTTTTTGAAGGAAGCCAGATGCCAGAATCTCTGTGTCCCAGTATCTAACGTGCAGACAACTAACTCAACCAATTCCAACCCAAACAGACCCCATGGGGCCTATATCCACCTGGGCCACAGGCTCCCCTGAGGACAGCCAGTACCCACTTGCCACGGTTCAGGGAAGCCCAGCGTGGCCACTGCGCCCCAAAATGGGCAGCGTATGGAGCCCTGGGGAACGCCAGGTCAGCCCAGAGCCTGTGGCCCCTGCTCAGGCCCTGCCTCCCCTGGGCTTGGCGCCTGTGTTCAAAGCCCAACTTGGCCACTGGCTTTTCACTCTCTGTGGGCTGGGCAAGGGCTGGACAGGAAGGACATGAATGGGACGGGGCAGGGTGGGGGGCAGATGCATGTCCTGGGCAGCTCCTACCTGGGTGGCTCCCCATCTGCGGCTATTTCCTCAGCACCTCTCTGGGGTGCCCTGTGCTGGTTTCCTTCTGGCCTCCCCTCCTGTGTCCCCTCTGTCACCTGATCCCACCCTTGGGTGCTCTCTTCCGCTGGCCTGGCCTACCTTGAGGAACTTATACAGGAGGAAGGTGAACCAGTTGGTCAGCATCTTCTCAGCCACCGATTCAGTCCTGGGGGAGGCAGAACAGCATGTCGCAGGCAGGTGGCATTGTCCCTGTTGTGCACAGGCCCCAGCCACCCCATCCCACAGGGCCTGTGTGGAGAAGGAGCCCTGGCCCGCGCCCAGCAGGCTGGCTCACCGGCGCAGCAGCAGCTTGGGGTGGTTCTTGCTCTCCAGGTTCTTCTCAATGAGGTCAGACAGCAGCTGCTTGAGCACACCCGTGGCGTACTCCATCTCCCCCTGCAGGGCTGTCATGATGAGGGAGGCCACGTTGCCACGGTCTCGCATGGAGAAGCTGCGCTGGGCTTCCAGTGTGCGGATGAAGGTCAGCAGGAAATGCTTCTTGGTCAGCAGCTGCCCAAACAGCGTCAAGGACTTCTCCACGTTGGCCTGCACCTGGGTGAGCACGTGCTTGCTCAGGCCCTGATGCCACAGAGCTGACGCGACCTCGGGTCACTACTGGGTGCCGGGACAGTGTCCTCGGCCTCACTGCCCTCGTGGCAGTGCCCACACAGAAACCCCCGCCCCACCCCCTAGGTGAGGAATGAAGGAGAGGAGACAGGCTGGGTGTGAAGCCCAGCACGTGGGAGAGGAAGGTGAAGCACCAAGGAGTGTGCCCGTCTTGGCACCAGCCTGAGTGCCTGAGGCCACTTCCTTGAGGTGCTCAGGGCCAGCAGCCTGGGCGCCCTGACGTCGGCAGCACAGCCCAGCTCTGAGGGCTGCATCTGTGTCTGCTCTCACCAGCGGCCACAGCAGACTCTGACCGGGCTAGCACCACCCAGCACAGGGCAGGGAGCTCACCAGCAAAGCCACGTCTCGAACCTCGAGGGGCACAAGTGGCAGGCCCAAGCTGGAGGAGGCCTGTGAGGGAGAGGAGCCACACCAGGCAGGCCCTGCCCCAGGCTCAGGGAGCCCCTCCATGTGCAGGCCCCTGCACCCCAACAGCTCGGTTGGGCCCTGAGCCCCAAGGAGCTGGACTGTCCCCTCTGAGCCTAGGGTGAGGCCAGTGCACCTACCTCCATCTCCTTGAGCACAGGGTGGTCCTCGATCCCGGGGAAGAGCACCCGCATGGCATAGGTGCGATAGTCAAGAAATGGGATACCCGCACCGTCCAGGTCGTTGGTCAGCTCATGGATGTCTGTCTGCAGCTCTGCAAAGGCTGTGACCAGGCGAGGTGTCAGGGCACTCCTACCCTTCCTCCCACGATCAGGGCCAGGGCCTACCACGTGCCTCCTTGTGCCTCAGTTTCCCCAGTCCTAACACGACAAAAATCCTCGGCCTTGTTGGGTAGTCGTGGGATTAACTGAAACTAAAGCAGAGCAGCACCAGGGCTGGCCTCTGACACTCAAGGGTGGGCAGCCATGGGGTGCCAACCCTTACCACTACAGGAATGGGCAAGGCCAGGGGCCAGGTGGTGGGTGGCAGATGTCCCAGGGCCAATGGCTTCAGGGTGACCCCAGGCTCCCAGCTGCCCACACTGACACCACTCCCCTGTGTATTTGGGCTGTGGGCCCCTCAACACAGCCACCCTGCTTCAGCCAGCTCTGCCTCTTGGGAACAAAGGTGGGCAGGCCCACAGCCCGAGGGGCATTCCAGAGCTGTGAGTTGTGTCTCAGCTGCCAGGACGCACTATCTGATCAGGAGCCAGAAGAGTGGGCGGCTCCGAGGATGGCTGGGCTTTAATTAGGTACTGGGCCTTCATCTCCTGGCACCACTGCCTGCCAGGCGTCTGCTGATCCCCACCTGCCAGCCCCAGGAGAGCCTCTGTGGGTACTTGTCCTCCACAGGACCCAAAGGAGCCCAGCCCCCACACGCTTGCACCCTGTCCCACCAGGACTGCCCACCTCACCCACCATGGGGTCACATGGGTCTCAGGGGGGCTCCTAGGATGTAGGACTCAAGTTTTAAGACTAGCCAAATCCCACTGGGTATGGTGGCACTCGCCTGTAATCCCAACACCCGGGAGGCTGAGGCAGGAGGATCACCATGAGTTCATGTGCCCGGGATACACAGTGAGACTGTCTCAACTCTCCTTCTCAAGAGACTGGACATTTTGTCACAGTGTCCGGGTCCTGTCAGAGTTGCTAAGGACCCTACATTGGACTCTGAGGGTCGCAAGTCCCAGCCAGGCATCACCCCAGAGCTGTGTCTCTTAGTAAATATCTGCATATGCCCTCCATAACACCTGGCAATGTCCCATAAATATCACTTGTCATCAAGGCCACTCCATTTCCCTCACAACCATCCTGACTTCTCTGTGGTGGCCCTGAGAGATTCACAGTGACCCAGGGCCCACAGGTGGGGTACATGGGGCTGGCCCCTGCAGGAGCTGATCCCACCCCCAGGTGCTGCCACAGCCCACGGCCTCTGTCTGAGGACACCAGGGCCCATGGGCTCAGCCTCAGCACCCACCAAGGTGCCCTACCCACTGCAGTCGCCACACCCATGGCCCATAGCGTGCAGGCTGAAGGTCTAGATGCCGGGCTGTGCTGGGCTGGATGTTCAACTGTGGGCTTCCCTGTGATATGCTGGGCAGAAATGGGTGCTCCTAGGGGTCCTGCTGTGCCCCACATGGAGTCCTCTGTTCCAGCTGCATTCCCACCCTGGCCTTTCCTGCCGCCCCCTCCCAGCCCTCAGCCAACACAGCTATGGTCCCTGCAGGCTTGGGATCCCCCACCCTGGGCCATATCCCACCAGACAACTCTCTGGTAGAAGGCTTTGAGGGGCTCAGGCCCAAGGAAGGAGAGCCATGAGTCTAGGGACAGCCATCAGGGGTAGCTCAGCGACTGGGCCCTGAGTACTAGGCTCGTCTGCTGTGCCATACTGTTACCCAAGGCAAGCACGTGTCGAGGGAGGGGCCACATTGCTACTGCACGCTAGACATGCCTCGCAGAAAAGCCCCACGCTGCCCTCTCAGGAGGGCACCAATGCCAGTCACACCCAAGGGTCAGGATGGACACACAGCCCATCTTAGGAGCACGGTGCAGCCAGCTCAAGGACAAAGGCTGGTGCTAGCATGAGTGCACATGCTCCGGTGCCCTACAGACGCTACCCTGGCCACCCCCGCCCCCACATGTGGTGCGGCTACTGCACCCACCCTGCAGTCGAGGAGACTGAGGCACACGAGGTCACGTGGCCCGATGTAGCTGTGAGGTGAGACCTACTCTGCCAGGGCCCCACCCACCAAGTGGGTACCAAGACCAGCAATGAAGGGCACGAGGCAGCAGGTGGGCCAGGCTATGGAGAAGTGCCAGCTGCCCAGCAGGCCCTGAATGCCACTCTGACTGACCTTCCTTGCACTCGAGGGCCACACGGGACTCCAGGTTGTCCATCTGGAGCTGCAGCCGCTTGAGGGTGCGGTCAGCGTCACGGGACTTTCGCTTGTAGGCGATAAGCACGGCCACGATGACCAGCAGCAGCAGGCCCCCGCCCCCACCGATGCCCACAATGGCAGGCAGCGTCAGCAGGCTGTCTGAGTATACCTGCAGCATGCCCGGCGAGAACTCGAAGCCGCCTGCCCGCACCTGCAGGTGGTGGAATGGGCTCAGAGACCGCCTGCACCCATGCTGGAAGCCAAGGGCCACAGGCCAAGGTCGCTGAACCCCAGGTGGCTCCTGCCTATGGGAGGTGTTCTGCCAACAGGGGCCAGTGGCTGGCAACATGGGGATGCTGGGACCCAGGGCATCGTGGGGCTGAGCAGGGACCCAGCAGGTGGGCAGTGGGGGTGGGGGAAGGTCACTGGCACCTCTAGGGCACATCTGAGGCTCTGCCACAGTAGTGAGGTTATCCTGGTCGGGACAGGATCAGCAGGAGGGCCTGGAGACTGGGGCTGGGGCCCAGACCTCCAGGCCCTGTACTTGGCGGGCAGGCAGGTGGGCAGGACCGTGGACTCACCGTGACCTTGTGCTGCCCAGTGAGGTTGGGTGACTCACACAGCAGCTGCGTCTCTGACACAGTGAGGATGCACGGCGTGGAGCCGATGAGCACTGTATAGTTGAGCCGGGAGTTGCCAGGTGCAGGTGGCAGGAGGTTCCGGCCCTATGGAGATAGCAGCGAGTGGGATGGCCAGGCTGAGAGCCCCTTCTCTGGCCCGCACCCCCTATCAGCCCTTCCGGCCTGAGGGAAGCCCAGCAGCCGAGCCCACCTTGAGGATGAGTGGGGAGCTGGGCTTCAGCTCCAGGAGCCCAGTAGGGCTGAGGGGCTCCAGCACAGGGTCAGGGTAGTAGAGGAAGGAGGAGGAGTTGAGCACCAGCAGGGCGCGCACGTTGTCCATGATGAAGCCCAGCTCGTCTGGCCGCTCCCCCAGCTCCGGCGGCGTGCGCGTGGGGTTGTCCACAGATGGCGCCCGGCACACCATAGTGGTGTCATTGTACACCATGCAGCTCTGGGGACACAGAGCACGGGAACACTGGGCCAGCACTTCAGAGGGAGGCGGTGTTCCCACAACAGAACTGAAGCCTGGGGGTCCTGGGACAGCTGATATGTCCTTGAGGTACTCCATACGGGCTGAGACAAGGGCAGCCCAGCCTCTGGCTCCATGTGCAGCTCAGGCCAGCACAAGCAGGGAGGGCCCGAGTATGCCCCAGGGTATGACGAGGTGGGTGGACAGGGGCTGGTGGGCAGGGTTGCAGACTCACGTTTTCCCGCTCGACGCCTCCATACTTGGCTCGGATTCGGGGCTCACGGACAGTGGCCAGATTGGTACCCGTGACAGTGAGGAGGGTCCCACCACTAGAAGGCGTGTGGAGTCATCATTTCGTGTTCCAGCCCAGCACACAGGAGGGGACAGACACATAGCCCGAACAGACGAGCCCCTCCCCAGAGCCACCGGCGGGGCCAAAGCCAGAAGTGGGGTTGGGGACAGGGACGGGGCAGGACAGCACTGCACACCTGTTGATGCTCCACTCTGGGTCGATCTTCAGGATGGTGGGGTCCTCCGTGTAATTGTATTTCACATCAGGGTTGGCGAGCTGGGCACGGTTGATGTTAATGAAGATGGGGGCACTCCCTGGGCTCTGCCCAGGGGGTGTCAGGCATCGGATCTCCCGGGAGTTCCTCCTGGGGGGCCAGGACACAGTGAGGTGGCATCCAGAAACCCACGGGGCACCTCTACAGTGAGCTGGCATCTGGCTCCCCACAAGTGAGCTGTACAACAGTGAGCAAGGGGCCACAGCATGACAGCAGCACTGCAACCACCGCTTCCACCCTTGGGCCAGTGTCTGGTCCTGTCCTCAGCCCCAGTGCTGGGCCCACCCTGTTTGGCACGTGGAACCTGACCCTCGTGCCTGCACAGCAATGCAGAGGCCAAAGAGGCATGGAGAGCCCTGCCTTGCCCCTCTTCAGGTGACCCTGATCAGGGCTCCATGGGCACTGGGCCTTGGCCTCCTCCCTGGCTACAGGTTGCCCACCTGCAGCACCTCACACTGCAGACAGCCCGGTCCTTTCTCAGGAGGCCAATGAGCCCAAGCCCCAACCTTTTTCTCCTGTTGCATCCTAAGAACGTGACACCCTCCCTCTGTCCCCTGATCTGGAACACGAGGCTTTATCTCCACGGTCATGGACCACAAGATGATCTGGGCTGGACTATCACAGGGTCACCTCTACTGGGCACCAGCCGGGCACTACATGCACCTGCATCCTGTCCCCTCAGCTCCTTTGCCACAGTTGGGAGGCCCTGCAGCCGCCAGGCCCCATTCGGCTGCAAACACCGATGATTAGTCTGATAACGGGTAATTACCACAGGAAAATATTTAAAGGGCCGTTCAATTATCATACCTAATCTAAAATTATCCACTTCAAGCCTCAAGGCTTTTGTTAAGATGTCTGTTTTCCCCCTTAAAAATTTTTTTAAAAATACTTTTTATTTTGTTCCTAAGGGAGTCCCCCTCCAGGGAGGAGGCAGTCAAGTTGTGCCCACCCCTGGCAGCCCAGGCCCCACCCCCAGCCAGCTGTCTGCCCTTTCCCCTCCTCTTCCCACTCTGGAGGTAGCCCCAGTTTCCATGGTAACCTTCTCCGCCTCTGGGTTTCCATAGTGATCACCCCAGCCAGGCCCTTCATATCCTGTTTCCCAGGCAACAGGAGGGGACACGTAGACATATGAACCAGGAGCTCAGCCTTGGCCCCCAATCAGCAGGAAAGGCCAAGCAGGCCCTGACCCCCACTCCCACCTGCGGCCCGTACCAGGAGAAGGAGCAGGGCCGGCCACCGATGGACACGGCCACGTCACTGCCCGCATTCAGGTGACTCCCCTCGATGCCAATCCAAGTGCCCCCGGACAGAGGCCCGCGGGAGGGGCTCACGCGGTAGAAGGTTGGTGTCTGCAGGAAAAGGGATTTGTTCAAGGGACATCCCTCTCGGGCCACACTGGGATGCTACTTGCACTGCCAGCTGTGCCCAGACTGGGAGGACTCCACAGGGCCCGAGGGGGGACCCATCCTGTTCTCTCGGGTGCTCAGACACAGGCCAGGTGGGCAGGCAGGAGGGAGGGGACAGCACGCAGGCTGCACAAGAATGGGGGGAAGTGTGGCCGACCAGGACCGAGGAAGCATGGGCTGGTGGGCTGCAGGCCCACTGTCCCTGCACCCAGCAAGACCTCTGAGCACCCGTGGTCATGTCCCCAGCAGCAAGGAGCAGCAGGCGCAGGAGCGGGACTTACCACGAAAGTGAAGCGCTTGGGAGACAGGGCCCGGTAGTGGGGCGAGCAGTCCCGCACACACACCTCCACCAGGGCGTCATGGGCCCGCACCGAGCTGGCGTCCCCAATCTCGCAGACGATCCTGTGGACATCGGCCAGGCTTCAGCCATTGTGGGGAGCTTCACCCGAGCCAGACCACCCCTCCTGGGCTGCACTCACTGCTCGGCGCTGATGTATTCGCTCTCTACGGGGCTGCAGAGCACCTTGCCCACCCGTACGCCCAGTCGCACGTCCTCGAACCGCAGGCCCAAGTTCTCGCCGGTGATGGTGAGCCGCGTCCCTCCCTGCCGGGGGCCTGTCTCCGGGGACAGCTGTGGGGAGGCAGAGGCTGGGGCACCCGCACTGGACAGCAGCCTGGGTAGCCTGCCTGAGAGGCCATGCAGTGGGCAGGTGGGTGGCAGGCAGGCGCAGGCTGGGCCTACCTTGAGGATCTTGGGGTCCGTGCAGCGGCTGCTGCCGTGGCGGGCATGCATCCAGGCGGCAGGTGCATCATATGGGCAGTGGTGGCGTAGGGAGCAGCGGCGCTCAGCCACGCACCAGCCGCACTCAAAGCGCGGGTCGGCCTTGAGGCAGAGGCCACAGCTCTCCCGCTGCGCAGGGCACTTGTAGAGGTGGGCTGTGGGAAGAGGCTTGGTCAGCAGGACTTCATGAGCACCAGCCCGGGGCCAAGCCAGTCCCCTGTGCTCACCCTGGATGTTCTGGGGGTTGTCGATGACAAAGTTGCCGTTCCACACGACCGACAGGTTCACGGGCAGGTCACTGATGTCGTTGCCCTCGTAGGAGTACTGTGGGTGGTAGGCACCGTGGTCAGGCCTGGGGAGGGTGGTTGGCCATCACCTCCCAGCCATCATGGAGGGTCAGGGCCTGTGCGCCCCTTACTATCTGCAAAACTGGCCATGGGGTGGGCCTGCCAGAACCTAGCACCCAGACTTCCAAAAGAGTCACGTGTCTAGCGTGGGGCCCAACAGCTGTCACCAGCCTGCCTAGATGCTAGCTGAGGGGGTGAACATCTACAAGCATCCCAGCAGCCCTGCCTACCCCAGCACACAGGGTCTCCCTCCTGGTTCTGTGGCCTACAGCCTCCAGGAAGCCTCTTGTCTCCAGCAGCCACATGTGGTGCCCTGGCACGGTGGACTCCCTGTTTCCCACAGTCAGCCCCACCCCCAACCAGGGGGTACCCTCAGCCCCGCTAGGAGACAGGACTCCCATCTTCCTCTTGGACTCAGCCAGGCCCGCCCTGTGTGTCTCCGGACCTGGGCTGTGGCCTGTCACACTTGGCTCTGTCCCAGCCCCTCCCCAGGCTGCTCCTGGGGTAATCACCCCTCCTGAGGGACTGGGCCTGGTGCTCCAGCTATGCCCCACTTTCTGCTGCTGATGACCTCAGCCCTGTCCCGTTCTTAGGGTGGAGCCAGGAGGGCCACGTCTCCAAGGGGCAGCCCGGCAATTCATCATTATTTCATCTGCAGGAATTTAATTGAATCCTATCAAACTCTTGGTACTCCCTCTTCCCTTCAACATGATGGAAGGCAAGATGATTTGGGGCTGGGAAGACGGGAGGGGAAGGGAGACAGGAGAGGCAGAGACAGTCGAGACTGAGGACAGGGTGACGGAGTTACAGAGGACACAGGTGGGGTGCTGGGAGGCGAGGGAGGGGGTACTGTTGAGTAGGGATCTGCTGGGACCCCTGGGCCACCCATCCTGCCAGGACAGTCAGGGTCAGCAGGGGCTCAACGGCCAGGCCTCTGACCTCAGCAGGGCCCCTCTCTGGGATTCCAGGGCTGGGAGCGACCAGAGCCCTGCCACCAGCTGTGCTTGGTGGAAAACAGGCCCCAAACCCATTGAAAATCCACTGCTGCCCTAAACATTGTGAACAGATGGGAAAACTGAGGCCAGCCAGTGGGGAGAGAGGGACCTGAGCCTGGGCCTCTGACATGCACTCCTCAGTCTCCCACCAAAGGAAGCTTCTGGAAAGACCATCAGCACCACACTCGCCAAACTCAGTAGCAGCTTTTAGGAGATCATCATGTTAGAGTGAAGCTGGAAGTGGCTTCTCCTTGGCTGCTGTGCACTGCAGACAGGGCCAGCAGTGTCCGAGTTTGACCACGGGACAAGACAGCAGTCAGCAGGCCCTGGTATCCTGACTGGGCCCCCGCAGCCCACTCACCTGCAGGACCCGGGCACACTGACAGACACACAGGGCGGCTGGGGGCCAGAAGCCCATAGGACCTATCTCCGCTTCCCTGCCCCTTAACCTGCCCCCCGTGCCCCACTCACCGAGGAGTTCTGGCACTGCAGGCTGGAGCTGTTGAAGCGCAGGGCAGTGACACGGGCAGGGCTGCCTGGGATGTGGAAAAGGCACTCATACCCACGCTGGCCTGACTGTGGCTGCGGCAGGTTCCGGGCAGCCAGGGTGATGGGCTTCACCACGCCCACTGGCACATAGATCTGGGTGGAGGGTAGGATCTGGGGGCAGTCCTGCGGGTGACAGGCTTGGGGTGAGTGCTCACTCAGGCGGCCCCCACACTCCAGGACCCCATCTGGCCTGCAGCTGCACAGGTCCCTGGGGCAGAGGAGCCAGAGAGGGGCCCTGGAGCTGCCAGCTCTCAGCTGGAGCCTGGGGAGCAGGTAAAAATAGCTGGAGCCCGGCAGAAAAACAGCCAGGGCCCTGGGGGCCGGTGTTTCGGCAACAATAACTGATGCAATGGACCAGTACCCTTGCAGCTCAGCTGGCGGCCACCCTGGGAGGAGCCGCCCTGCGGGAGCCCAGGAGATGACTTTAAATAGGGATGCTGAAAACAGAACTCGGTCCCTAAGCCCCGACAGCTTCCACAGCGGGCTCTGCAGGGATTTCCAGGGCCTGAGGGGCTGTACTCTCAGCTGGACAAGCTGTCCCTGCTTCACTGGGCCTGGGGAATGTGCTGTGCCCACCAGCCACAGGCCCCGAGTCAGGCTGCAGCCCATGCAGGGAGGCACTGGCACGTAGTGAGCCATATCTACCCACGACTCCCCAGGCCATTAGGGGCCATTAGAGGGGTACCCGTGCCACTGCACTCCAAGACAGCCTCTGAGATTCATTTTTTGAGACAGGGTCTCACTGTGTAGTTCAAGCTGGCCTTGAGCTCACTACTGTTAACCCAGGATGGCCTCGAACTCACAGTGATCCTCCTGCCTCAGGCTCCTGTGAGTATCAGGATTACAAGGCGTGCATCACCACACCTGGTTTTGAGATTCCTCCAAGGTTCCAAATGTGAGCCCCCTGGAGTAGACTGAGGCCACACTGGGCCACTCCCCAACCCAACCCAACAGCAAGTACCGCAAATGAGGAGCCAGGGGGTGGCCTGCTTTGCTCTGGGAGGCTGTCCTACCTGGGCCCCAGTGCCACTCCACCTGGCTCCTATTTCCCTATCATCTCTCGACGCCCAATGGGTATGTTCTCCCATCACACAGGATTCAGGCAGTAGCTGTAGGCAGGATGGGCCAGGGCACCACTGGGCAAACCGAGTCAGACCTATGCTAACCCTTACTTCAGCCACCTGCTCCACAGGCCCTGCTCTCACAGTCAGGGTGACTGCTTGGGTCCCCTGGTGTCAACTCAGAGCTAGGTCTGGCACCCCTGCCAGGCCTGATGGTTCCTATCTCCCCAGCACACAAAAGGCCACAGGGCACTGGGGGAGGCCAGGAAAAAGATCAGCAGTACACACAATGGCACTGGGGTCCACTTCAATCAGGGTGCTGGGTCCTAGACTGGCCCCCGTGTGGGAACCAGCTGAGGGGCTGACAGCCGTCATGACCCAGGTTAGATCTCTGTTACCTTGCCAAGCCTCCTTATGTGGATTGAATCAAGATTTGGTAGACTATCTCCTGTCTGCTGAAAACACAGGATCATCCCCAAGGGGAAAAGCCCCAGCAGGGCCCCAAGGCTACCCAGAAGGTACCTCATCAACCTTCTGTCCCAGGAAATGCCAGCCACATCGCCCATTGTGCAGAAAGGCCAGGAAAAAGCATCACTGAAGGAAATCCCCAACCTCTAAGCCAGGTGGGAGCTCTACTTTTGGGGGCCTATGAGGGACCCCTCCAGCCTCAACACACAGGGCCACTTCCTGGACACCCCCAGCCTTGGCATCTTGCTCAGGGAGCAGTCAGGAAAGGGGTTCTCAGAGGTTCCTTCTGGTTATGGGGGCCAGGTGGGAAGCCCAACTCCAAGCTGGAGAAAGGGGTCTCGGGCTGGAATGCTACGGATCTCCTGCATAAGGACGTCACCCATGGGACCCCTAGAACCAGACAGGAAAAAGGGGGACCTAGGCCTTAGTCACGGTTTCATTTGCTTCGTTCTTCAGGAGCATCCATGTAAACACCTGGGGTACAGCTCGAGACTACAGTGCTGTGGAATGAATTTGCCCCCCACCCCATGACCCTTCCTGGATCTCCAGGACCACATGGACAATCTCAGGAGGGGTCTACATCTCCTGTGCTACCTGCCCCAGCCAACTTGCCCACGACAGCCCTCCCAAAACCCCGGTGTCCTCTGTTTGCTGAGGCTGTGCTGGAACTGGACTGGAGAAGGGGTCAGAGATGGACACCAGAGAGGACTAGGCTGCCTCTGCCTCCAGGGACCCCCACTGGCCCTCAGTCCCATGCCCATGACCACTGTGCTGCCCCAGGCAGCCACACCTGCAGAGGCCTCTGCACTCTCTCACCAGCCCCTAAGTCCCCCGGACCTGGCTTATGGCTCCTGCCTGCCCTGGATGCCCTGGCCCCGCTTCCTAGCACCCCCAGAGCTGCCTGCCCAGCCCCCCACTGCCATCTTGTCTGCTGAAGACAATGTTACACCAGGGACAGAAAAGCCGAGTGCAGAGGGTGGTGGTGGGGTGATGGGGAGGCCATGGGGAGGGGGGAACCCAGGGGAGGAGGCACCAGGCATCCTGCCCAGACCTGCATGCTCTAGGCTCCTGCCGCACCAGAGCTGCGGCCAGCAAGTGTCTCTGCAGCCCGAGCTCCTGCTTGTCACCCATGATCTCCTAACTCACCAGCCTGGCCTCTGGGTGTCCCCAGCCTCACAGAGCCCTGCAGCCCCAGGCTGGTCACACCCACACAGCATGTGGCTGAACCCTGTACCCTAGTCAATCCCAGGTGTTCCCGGGCCAGCACCCTGGTGATACGGAGGTGGGGTGGGGCCACCGGCCTTACCTCAGACACGTTGACACGGCCCTCCAGAAAGGCGCAATCAGCGGCGTTGTGCGTGCACACGTGGCGGTATTTGCACCAGTGACAGGGGAAGGAGCCATTGACACAGGACAAGCAGCTGTGGGAGAGGCAGGCCTGTGAGGCTGGGGATGAGTTGTGCCCGGCTCCTCCCCGGGGCTGGAGGCTATTCCTGGCAGAACAGTCCCCAGACCTGAAGGCGCAGCTCTCTCTGCCTACCCCGGGCTCTCCCCAGACCCTGCACAGCTTTCCTCTCCGGAGGCTCAACAACCACCAAACCCCACTTTCATGAACTCAGACCTAAATTCAGGCAGCAGGCAGCTTCCACAGCACTGGGCAAAGCTGGGTCCACATCCACTCAGGGCCCAGGCGCAGGCCTTGCCCAGGCAGGAAGCTGTCCTTTTAATCTGCCATGTCCCAGGCCGCGACAAGCTGGTCACTGCAGACACTGCTCATGCAGCCACACAGAAGGCCCACAGCCTCTGCCTCCTCCCCGGTGTCTCTGCTGCCAGCTGGCAACCCTGCTGCTCCAGAGACTCTGAGGTGCCCCCAGGCCCATCAGTGTGGTCCCTGCCTGGGACAAGACATTGTGTACCCCAGAGTTGAAACATCATCCGGCACACAGTGGGGCTCCATGTGGAACTACAAGTCCATCCGGGGTCAGTCAACAAACGAAAAAGCACAACTGAAACACCACATAACTGCTCTCTAAGGTCAAACTCTGCTGCCTGTTAAGGGCATCCCCACCACCGTAATGCCACTGCTATGCCCAGGTCAGGGACAGAGCTGAAGGCTCCCCTCTCGGCCTAGAGACCCCGGCTCATAATAGAGCCTACATACCCCAGCCTCCCCCCGTGGCCCTGCCTCACTGCCCCTCTGCCTGGCCTGCTACTCTCTCATGGCCTCGCCTCCCTCCCTGCACCAGCAGGTGAGGGCAGAGCTGACCAGGACCCAGGGATGAGAAGTCGCAGCAGCCCCACAGCAAGCACGGACACTCACGACTGGTGGACACTGCAATTGTAGAAGACAAAGTCCACAGATGCAAACTTCTTCCCAGTCTCCTTGGACTTCAGGTATAACTTCACCACCCGCTGGTCCCCTGCGAAGCAAGCAAAGCAGCACAGGCCACGTCACCAGGGTCACACACAGGGGACAGCCTGCCTCGCTCCTGGGCTGGGCAGCAAGAGGAGTGGGAATGGCATAGCTTCTGCCTCCCTGGGCCACGCGGGAAGTCTGCAGAGGGCTTGCTGATGGGTCACAGCAGAGGGCCCGATCCCCCACCCAGCTCTGAGTCCCAGAGCAGCCACGCACCTTTGCCCCTGCCACCCTCTGGGCTGCAGCCCCTCGCCTGCCGTCCCGTCATTGTCACTCTGGTCCTAGGCCTGCAGCATTTCCTCTACCCAAGAGGAGCAGCTGGGGAGAACCCTGACACAGGTGACACAGTCGTCAGGAACCAACCCTCAGAAGTGACCTTGGCGGGGACTGACGCCCACTGGCCCCAGCCTCTCCAGGGACAAGGGGCACAGGACGGCGCTCACCCTGGCCCCGAGTGATGGGTGCCACCTCCCGAGCAGAGGGCGAGCGGCAGTGGATGCGGCCATCCTCTAGGACGCCCTCGGATTCTGTGAAGTCCTCGAAGGAGCAGTTGACGCCAGCTGAGAGGTCAGGAACGTTCCAGGCCTGCAGCACAAGCTGGGACCGCAGGCAGAAGTAGGTGAGTGGGAGTCAACATGCCCTGCCACCCCCGGCAGCCCCCAGGGTGGGCACACTCACCGGCACCTGGGACATGGTGACCGACACATTGTGCGGCTGCACAGTCAGCTGGACGCACTGCAGCAGGTCAGAGGCGAAGCGCTGGGGCTCATCTGCCCGCTCACACGCATCCTGCCGTGAGCAGCTGCGGCCCGAGGGTACTTAAGCCAGGCAGGGACCCAGCACACTCCCAGCCCCCAGGGGAGACATTCCCACCCCAGGTCAGCAAGCCCAGGGGGACACGGAGGCATCCAGGGGAGGGCAGGCCATCTGAGGCCCCAAGAGGTACTGAGACTCTACCCCACCCACCCACCCGTCGCCAGACTCACATGCTGTGCAGGACACACCAGCCACAGTGGGGGTCCCTGGACCCCAGGCATAGCTCGCACGATGTGTACTGCACGCAACTCTCCACCGGCACCTGTGTCACCTGGGGGGCCAAGGAGTCAGGCCCTGCAGCCCCACACTACGTCCCACACAACAGGGGATCCCTGGCTCGGGCCTTCCCTGGTGCCAGTCCCAGGAGCCCTGCTGCAGTCTAGGAGGTCACGAGGATCAGGTTGGCAGCAGCTGGGGAGCCAGTGTCCACATGGGTGAGCAACCACCAGAGGACCTATGGTTTGGGGCAGCCATCGCCTCCCACCTGCAGACTCCATCCTGGCCCCAGGCTTCCTGAGGACCGAGGGGCCCAGGAGTAAAGGACAGATGCAGGCAGGCCCCATGAGGCTCCACAGACTGCCCTGGGGCAGGGCACCCACCACGCTTGGGGACACAGAAGAGGAGAGCAAGGGTGGCCCAGCAGGCTGACCTCCCCTCCACCCACCACAGGGTCACCAGCTTGTGCAGAAGGCAAGCAGGGGCTCCACAGCCTTGAGGAGCAGAGCTGAGCCCACCCTAGGCCACCAAGGCCACAGCCACAGACCCCTGGACAGGAAGGGCAGAGCTGGGTCAGGCCACAGCCCAAGTTCCAGTTCCAGGCCCAAGGGCTCAAGGGCTCCCTGACACTGGCTCCAGGACTGCCCTCTGCCAGTAGCTATCTCTGTGGTTATGTAGCCACACAGAAGGGTGACATCCCTCACTGGCCAGGAGGCCCCGCCAGGCACACACGCCTACTGCATACCCACAGCACCCACCTGCTTCTCCGTCATGGCATAGAGGTACTGGTGGTTAGGGCTGAGGACCAGGTCACGCAGGATAGGGCTGCCCTCTTGGACAACCACGCTCTCATAGGGCAGGGCCATGCGGCCACCAGGGCTGGCGAGATCCACCAGGATCTGTGGCGGGGAAAGGCCAAGTAGGGCTGCGCTCCCGCCTTTCTGTCCCAGCCCACTTTTAGTCCGGGATCCCAGAGCCTCCCCAGCACCCGCTAAGACCTCCAACAAGGCGGGCTTCACATTGGGCTGAGGCCACCCCCAACTTCCCCAGGGCCTACAGAGACTGTGGGGAGTCCAGGAGCCTCTGGGGTGGCCAGGTGGCCACGGCTGGGCCTGGTGTCTTGAGGGGGGGCAACCCCCAGCCAGGAGGCGGCAACAAAGGAGCGGCGTCTCATCGGCTCGGAAATGTATTCCAGCTCCCAAACAAACCGGGTGTTAATTAGCCAGCTCTTCTCCTCCGCAGCCTACAACGCTGCAAGTATTTTTAGTTGCTTTTACCAAACAAATGTATTTAATTAACAGAGAGACCCAGGGGGCTTTCTAGAGTTGGGACTCATGGGGTGCGTCTGCCCACAGCCTGTCCCGCATCCTCTCCTCTGGCCTCAAGCACTGGGCTGCTTGCTTCTCCACCTTCACCTTGGGGTGGTGGCTGGGCCTGAGGCACAGGACCCCCTCTCTGTGCCTCCACCGTAAGGGACAGGGCCGGCTGAGGGCAGACAGCCAGGGTGGGGCGCTGTGTCCCAGGGCCAAAGCAGCTGCTGGCTGTAGGAGAGGGGGAGGGCTGCATTCCTGAGTGCTGTTGGCCACCCCCCACATCCGCTCAGCTGCCTCCCCACCAAGCAGGCTTGGGCTTAAATCGAACCAGACCCGGAAGAGCTGGGTAAAGGAGGAGGTGTCCCAGGCGGGTCCCGCTAGGATGCCTTCAGGGTCTGGGCTCATGGTTGCCCAAACTTTGGCCCAGGCCTCTGGAAAACGGGGATAGGGAAAGGGGATGGCAGAGGCACACTGTGGGGCCCCAGCAGCCCGGCACCCCTCTGAGCATGGCTGTGCACACAACCCAGCCTGCACCCAGGTTGCCCACCCACGCCTGCCCAGGCCTGCCAAGTACACAGCCAGAGCAAGGGCTCAGCCCGGGCAGAAATCACTGACCACAAAGGCTGGAGGGTGCCTGCCCAGCTGGCATCCAAGCTCAGGTTCTACTCGTGGAACTGAATCAGTTCATGCCAGCCAGGCCCCCACGGGACAGGTCAGGAGCCAGCCTCTACACCGGCACAGCCTGGGGCCACACATGGCTGGGACACATCCCAGGGTGTGCTGCAGCTCCCTGCTGCAGTTCCCCTAAACCACAGATAGCTCCTTCCCAGTACACAGACATTGGAGGCCCAGGAGTCTGGCCCAGGACAGCTGCCAAGGAAGTAGCAGGGAGGCCAGGCAAGGGCTGGGCAAGGGCTGATCAGGGGGCCTCAGATCCCAGACCCACGGCCTCCAACCTGAAGACCCCAAGTGTGACGCTGGACCTCCCCCAAGCCCTTTACCTGTGCCCACAGCCTCCATAGGACCCATGTAGCCTGTACCAGGCGTGGGCTTCCCCTAATCTCTGCGTTCCTCCTCAGATACCTGGCAACCTGGATGGCATCAGCCTGACTGGGCCCCACCTGGCCTGCAGGGGGTGATCTCAAGGCACCTGACTGGGATCCCTGGCAGGCATCCAGGGGACTCTGGGGACCTGGCCCTGGCCTGGCCAGCCTGCCATTCCCTCCCCACCCAGGGCTGGGCACACCAGCTCCACAGCACAGAGGGCAGGCCAGCCCAGGCTCCACGAATCCTGCCCCCCTGCGCCGGCAGCATGCCGACTCGGCCGCCTGGGACAGGTGGCACCGACAGCTGCAGCTGGGGGCACGTGTCCAGCTGTCCACCCACCTGCCCATCGAGAGGCCACCCCTACCCTTCATGTACAAGCAGGTCCCAGACATGGGGCCTTGGGGAAGCAGCCACCAGCCAGAAGGGGCCACAGGCCTGGGTCTGATGGAGCCCCTGGCACACATGAGTAATGGGGCACTGGGCATGGAATGTGAGCTCCCAGGACATGCTTTCAGGCTGGAAGGTCCTGTGGCCTAGCCAGCTTCCCTGGACCTTCAAATGGGAGGATGGGGCCAGGGATTTAGCTCAGTGGTTCTGTCGCCTGCCTCACAAGCGCAAGGTCCCTAGTTTGATCTCCAGTAACAAAAAAAAAAGGGAGGAAAACAGAGGCATGCACAGGACCTGCCAGGAGGCCACAAGGCCCTGGACCCCGAACTATGCCTGGGGAAACAGAGTCTGCACCAGAATGGGAGGGGGCCAGCACCCGGCCAAGAGGGCAACCCAGGAGGGTGAGGGCACAGGCAGCAGGGCAGGCACAGGGCCAGGGCAGCTGGCATGACAGCAGGGCCCATGTACCAATGCCCTCAGCCTCGGCCCACAGCTGTTTGCCCAGGCCACCCACCCAGAGGCAGGAGCAGCTGGGCCAGGGCATCCCAGGTACCCCCTGCTGTGGTCTCGTTGCTCTGTAAACCTCTGCCCAAAGACCACCAGGACTTTCCTCAACGGACCCAAACAGCCCCCTGCCTGCCTGCTCACACATCTATCAGGGAGGGGGCCCCTCCAATGTGACACCTCTCCGTTTTCCCCACAGGGCTCAGGGGCCACTGAACTCCCTGCAGCAGCGGGCTGTGCCAGGCCCCGGCTCCCACCCACTCCAGTTCAGGGCACACAGGTTACCCCACCAGTCTCTGCTTGGGCCTTCCCAGCCTCAGGGCCCTCTGTCCCCTGGATTCTCCTGACAAGGGGACAGGCCAGGCCCCAGTGACCTCTGGAGACCAGGGACTTGAGGCTCTGGCCTCCCCACCATACAGGGCCCCTGATCCTTTTCCTGGCCAGCCACTTTCCCTGAGGCCCCACCAGGGCGCCAGGAGGCAGGTAGGTGGGGGCCGAGCCCTGGGTTGCCCAGACGGCTGCCTGCACCCGTCACACCGAGGCTGTGGCCGACTGCTGCAGGCGTCGGGCAGCTGATGGCCCGGCCAGGTCAGCTGTCCGTCCAGTCCCAAGCAACAAAGGGCCCATTCTCCAGGCTGAGGGCAGGCGGGGGCCGAGGAGGATGTCTGAGCCATCCAGGCTGCGTGCCAAGGCCGGCACGCGCCCTAACTGCCCGGAGGCAGGGGGCTGCCCCTGCACGGCCCTGACCCGCCAAAGGAAGGCTTGCCCTGCTCTGCCCACCCTGTGATGGCAGCTCCACCCCCACCTCCCTGCCTGCAAAGAGGGTACCCACTGAGCTTTTTCCTGGCACCCAGGGCTGGGAAGGACAGGATTTGGTAGGGACAGGTAGAAGCCAATGAGGGCATCACATCCTTCTGCAGATGCAGCCGCCAAGCCTGTCCCCAGCTGGAGTGTTCTGGGAGGGGACTGGTGAGGGCTGGGGTCCCTGCCACACTTGCCCCCTCAGGAGCCCCCAGGGGTGCAGAGCTACCGGCCCCTCTCCCTGGAGAACCTCTCCTGACCCTTCCCAGGCCACTCCCCCACCTCTGGCTGGAAACAGGCTCCAGCCCCCTTCCCCGGTCCCCTTCATTCTCAAAGGCCAGGAGGAATTTGATACTGGAAAAGCAATTAGTGATTTCCTCCTGGCAGTAATTGGGTAATTAAAACATGATTTGTAGGAGGGCTGATGGCTGTAATTGGGCCAGACACCAGACACACCTGGTGGTGGGGGGGGTCTCAGGAATCCCATCCTTCCCACCCCCAATCTCCACCACATGGGGGACAGTGGGGACCAGGGCTCAGGGCCTCAGCAGGTGGAGGACAGCAAGGCTGTGTCCAGACCGCTTCGGCCTGCCCTAGCTGTGACCCCTCGGCAAGCAGGGCCGTCCTGACCCTTGGGCTCCTCATCTGCTAACATCCACCTCATGGGGCTTCGTGAGAACTCGGGAGCTCACAGGTCCAAGGGGGCAGGGTATATGCCTAAAGCCTGCCTGGAGATGGCTCCCAAATCCAGACCCTGCTGTGGGTGCTGGAGGTTAGACCGCAGGACAGCACTGATCACCACAGGGCCTTAATCACACCACTGACCATCCAACCTAAGGCTGGGCTGGGGTCCCCACAGAAGCTCGGGCCTGAGCCAGCATTGGGTCCCACAGGTGCCCTGCAGAGGAGGCAGAGGGTGCCTGGCCTGGGGTCTCTGTTTCAGACCCACAAGCCACTGTCCCTGGCCTGCCCACTTGCCGCCTGTCTGCCTTCTGCAACTTCCATGCCTCGCCCACTCTGACCCTCAAGAGTGCTCTGGTCTACAGTCTGCTCTGCACCCAGATGGGGGCCCACGGACCTCAGCATTTCCTCAGGGGCCCTGCTGCCCCATACCCGATGGACACCTCCTGCCTCACCACACTGAAACCACAGGGGCTGCCTGTATAGACCAGGACAGCAACCCTAGCAGCTGAGGCCCTGCCCACCACATCCACTCAGTCCTCAGTACACACAGGGCACCTCCAAGCTTTGGCCCTCCTGTTCCCTGTCCCCAGAACACCCTCCCAGCAGACCCTCAGGCCTTCCCTCACCACGCACAGGCCTTGTGTGTCCATGGGGGAGGTGCTCATGACCTCACCAGGCATGGTGGGGGCAGGATACAGGAGGTCGCTGTGGGCCTGCGCTGTGAGCCCCTTTTCACCAGGTTGCTGAGTGCCTGCTGCAGGGCCCTCCACACAAGCCTGGTGGAAACCTTGCCGGCAATGCCCACACACATTCATGGGCCACTGGCTCTGCAATGAGTGGCCACGAAAGCACCAGTTATATCCACAGGTGAATGTGAAGTCCCTCCCACATCCTGATTCAGCTCACAATAGTGGACCACACGAAGAAGAACCAGAGTGGGGACCGTGCACCCCCCCCCCGGGAAACTCCCAGAGACAGCCCCAAAGGTGCTGGGACCACTGTCCTGGGCAAGCAGGGGCAGCCAACCCTCTGATGACCACCAGCAGGACAGAATATGAATGGGTGCAAGTCCCTCACCCAGTCCACACAACAGCAAGACATAATCATGACTGGAGATCAGATGAAAAGAGGACTAAGCCATTGAGCCCCCGGGCAGAAAGCAGCCAGAGTTCATCGCCACTCTGGCCAGAACACATACACAAAACGCCGGGGGCATGGAGCTGTGCTGCTCGCAGATGGACACATGGATGGGGTGGGCCATGGGGACATGCTGTAGAAGGGGAGCCTCCCACAATGCTGAGCAAAGGAAGACAAAGAAAACACACCGCATGACTCAGCCCCGGAGGTTCCAAGGCTGGCACCACAGCCCAGGACAAGGTCAGCAGGGCAGGCAGGCCCCTGGAAATGGGCGGGCCAGGGAGGGGCTCTGGGACAGGGTGGGTGCTGGAGTGTCCTCGAGTGACATCCTCCTCAGTGCCCATTTCTGTGTCACAGGCGAACCTCGGTAGGGCTGAGAGTGCACAGAGTCACCAAGGCACAGGGAACCTTCCAGAGACCCAGGGCCTCCAGGTGGCAGGAGGGGCAGCTGGTGACAGGAGCCCAGGCCTAGAGTGGCACACAGCAGGCACTCAGCAGGAAGCCACAGAGGGAAGAGGCCAGGCAGAGGCAGCTGTGCCTGCCCCACAGGCAGTCACCCCTAAAGCTCTGGGGACAAAGTGACTAACACCATGGGGCTCCTAAGCCCTCTAGAGACACAGCTGCCCAACCTTGCCTTGGGGATACTAGTGAGACCCCAGCTTGGCCAGGTGCGGCAGTAGACACTGCGGAGCCAGCTGTGGCCAAGGCTGTGTGTACAGGGCTGCAGCTCTCTTCCACACCCAGAAGGGAGCTCTGCGGCCACTACCTTGTGCTGGGATTGCAGCAGGGAGAGGGCATGTTGGGTCTCGCAAACCAGGGAACCTGCCCCAGAGCCTGCCCCAGAGCCTGCCCCAGCTCCTGGGCAGCTGGGCAGGTCAGGGAGGGACACTGAGGACTGGGAGGGTGGGGTTTGGCTATGGCAGGTGGGTGCCACACTCAGGTCCTGCCCTGAGGCCTACAATGCCACTTTCCTAGGCTGCACAATGCTGTGCCACAGGACCCTGGTCACGAGCTAGTGGCTGGAGGCATGCCAGAGCCGGCCCCATCACATTCTCACAGCACAGATTCCATGCCAGTGCTGAACAATCAGAGATCGCATACAAAACACAGTAGCCAGAGTCCCCTGAAAAACCGGATGCCCAGGCAGACAGGCCAACACTCGCCTAGTGTGGCCACCAGAAGGCCAGGCTGGGCCTCATGTAAGGGCCAGGCCCTTGGATCTGCAGAACAGCCTGGGGCTGACTATGCGGGAACTAAGGTGGCCTCGGTGCCTGTCCTTAGGCAGTACTTTCCCTGCCTTTGCCTCTGCCCCTAGCAGGGCACCAGGTCCACCCGAGAATCCCAGCAGGGCTGCCCACAGTGGAGGCTCCACTGGAGTCTATGGCCAAGGCTGCACCCCTCAGTGCCGGGAGGGGCACACGGAAAGCAGAGGGGAGGCAGTCCCAAGGGGGAGTGGTCCGGGGGAGGGGGGAGGCAGGGCACCCCAGCCGGCCCTGAGCAGCTGAAGTTGGCAGGTCTTATATTAATCAGCTACAATTTTACACAACAACACATTTGGCAGGGTCTGGCCTGCGGCCAGCCAAGTCCCTGGAGCTCCCTAGACGCTTTTAGAGCTGGGGAAGGAACAGGCCTCGGAAAGCAGGGAGTGGCCAGCGCCACCAAAGGCTTGCCCTGGGTCAGGCAGTGGCTGGGAGACTCCGGGGCCCAGCTCCAGCCTGCGGCACAGACAAAGGACAGGCAGTGAGGCAGCACCATGGTGCTCAGACAGCTTCGGGCCAAGGGCCAGCCCTCCCCAAGGCCAGACAGGGCAGCCAGCGAGCCCTGGCCTGCCCAGCTCACAGCCATTCCATCCCGACAGCAAGAGAAGGGAGTGCTGCTGCCCAAGGCCAAGGCCAGAAGAGCCTGTGCCACCAAAGTCAGGCGTCCTTCACGGAGGCCAGAGGTCCGGGGCTGGGACCCAGGGAGGTGACAGAGCCCGGGCAGGCAGAGGGACACCCAACCCACATTGTGCATGACGTGCCCCAGTGGGGGACACAGGGCCTGAGAGCAACGCGGGAAGTACACCACAGAGGTGCCCCATCTCCAATGCCACCACAGCAGCCAGGGCCTGGGCCAGTCCAAGGACAAGGAGGGGCGGGGCGTTAGCCTGTCCTGGGCTGTGGGAGGATCCTGAGGCCAGTTGCCCAGGGCAGGAGCAGGCGGGGACAGGACCAGACCTGGCCTGCTTCCTCCAGGGACCCACAGAAAGGGAGAGAAGCAACCCTGGGTGCATGCTGTGACTGCTCTGTGCCTCGGTTTCCTGACCTGTCAAACTGGCAAAGGGGCTGCTATGAGGCCCTTAGAGGGGCATTTCTGCTCTGGGGCAGAACTGGAAAGCCAAACTCAGGCTGAGAGGCTGGGCTGTTGAATGGAGGTCACACAGCTCGGCCATGTGCATACTCTGGAGTAGGAAAGACCGTCACTAGGACGTGTATGGACCAAGGTTTAAGTTTCACAATACCTTCTCTCATATCTGTGTCTCCAAGGGAACCCGACTTGGCTGCAGAACCACCAACAGAATGGGGAGCCAGTTCCCCAACTCGAGGGCACTGATGTCCAGGTCACCCCATCAATCCCCACACCCAGCCTGGAATCCCTGGGATGGGAAGAACAGGTGCCCAGGACGAGGTCCTGCACCTCTGAGGGCATTGGGCTCTGATGGCAGGGGTCTGCCAGGGTCACCTCTGCGCACTAGTAATACCAGGCCCACAGGCACCGGGTGCTACCCCCCCCACACACACACCCACAGTTGGTCTAGGACAGAGGATGGTGCTGAACAGAGCACCCAGGCTGGGTTGGCCTGCACCTGCCCCTCCCACCAGTGCCGTGAACAGAATACAGGACACCCACCCTGGGGCCCTCCGTCAGCAGCCCAGCCTCCACTGGGCCCCAGACCACAGCGCGGGCCTTTAGGCTCACTTTGCAGAGAGGAAGCTGAGTGGGGCTCTCCCATCAGAGCCAGGAGCACAGGGGTGGGGACCAGGCCCTCCCTGGCCACAGGCCGGGCCCCACTCACAGGTGCAGGACAGGCAGGCAGGCAGGTACCTGTGTCAGCACAGAGCCTGAGGCTGTTATTTCATCTGAGTTCCCTGCTCACCAGCTCTGGGGGGCCCCAAGCAACCCCACCCGCCTCAGGTTTCTTCTTCCAGCCTCCTGTGCCCTCTCTGCCACTGTCCACCCACCCACGGGCAATGCCCCTCACCATCCAGCCTCCAGGACCCTCCCCTGCCTCTCCTGGCACCCAGCACCACCCTGCCTGGCATTCCTGGGGGAGAAAAGACCCAGAAATCAGGAGCCACTGCACAGTGCCACTCTTACCCCAGGGGCCCACGGTCACTTCAGTCACCCAGCTCCTCCACACCAGCTCCGGCAGGCTGAGGGGGGTGCCCTTCCCCTGCCCTTGTTCCCTGGTGCAGGGCAGGGTGGTGGGAGCAGGCAGAGCGCTGTCTCAGCAGACACCGGATCTCCTAGGCCAGGAGCAGAGCGGGGGGCGCGCAGAGCCCACCCTGCCCCCACCCGACACAGCGGGCCTGTTGTCCCTCTGCCCGTCAGAGCTGTTCTCCACCTTGGTGGCACCTGCACTCCTGTTCACCCCTCCTACCTCCCCACTGGGGCCTGACCTTGCGGATGCGGCCGCTCCTCGTGCCGGCAAACACCACGGTGCGGCCCCGGTAGTCGTAGGCAGCTACAGCGGTCAGGCCATCATCCTTGTCCACAAACAGAGGTGTGCCCTCAATGGTGACTGTGCCCCCCAGCGGCTGGTTGAAGTCCTGTCCGCAGAAGTCATCATCGATCTGCAGGGGCTGTAGGCAGGGGTGGGGTGGAGGCACAGGGCTTGCAGAGGGTCCCCGAGGCCAGCACCCAGCTGCGAGAGGACATGGCCCCGCACACAGCCCCCACGGCTCACAGAGAAACAGGCTCTGTGGGTATGCTCCAGCCCAAACCCTGTGTACCCCACCTACCTGGCCCAGCACCCCACCCTGGGGAAAATGGTCACCCAGGGGGTGACCCACTACACCCAGCACAGCCATATAGGGGTGTTGGAGGGCACCGTCCTCTGCTGTGGACAGGTGGCCACTAAAGGGGCTAGGTAAGACTCAAGGGGCCAGCTAGGCTGCAGGCAGCAATCAACAGTGAGGTCCCAGAGACATGGGGGGGCTCCCCAACTGGGAGGCCAAGAGGAAAGGGCAGGGCGGAAGAGATGCCAGTCCCCTCTGGGGGCCTGAGGTGCACCTGGGAGAGGCTCTAACTTGCCGGAGGAGGGGAGGCTGGCCAGGATGGGCGGAAGAGGCAGGTCCCTGGAGTGCAGAGCACACAGTAGGGCCTTGGTGAAGCACTGCTCTTCCAAGCCTCAGTTTCTCCGAGCACACAAAGGTGAGAAGACACCTTCCCAAAGAAGCCCAGGAGCTGGGGAACTGTGCCTAGACAGGGGACCCCGTGAGAAGAGTGGGAGGGACACTGTGGTCGGCCCCAGCCTGGCCTGGTTAAGAGATGGCAAACTGCAGCCAGGCTGGGGCCGCTTTCCCTGGGCCATGGGGGAGTCCCAGAAGCAGAGGACCTGAGGGCAGGGCAGATTCAGGTGAAGCCTGAGCTTCTGACCTTCTGACCTGAACAAGTCCTGGAGTTTCTCCAACCCCGGGTCAGCCCTGGCCAATCAACACTCTTGGGAAAGCAGCTGCCAGAGTCTGGGCCTGCAGCTGCAAAGCACCCAGCTTGGGGCAGCCTCAGATCCCCCTGAGGGGCAAGGTAGGTGCTAGGGAGGGAGATACACAGGCAGTCGAGACCATGGGGAAGAGACACAAACTTCCTGCCCAGCTCAGGCCTGGCCCCAGCTCTGCCTCTTGGGGCAGTGTGACCCCAGGGAAATCAACCCACCTCTCTGAGCCCCAGGCACCTCATCTGCAAAACTGGACAAGACAGAGCAGGCTACCACCCAGCACACTGCCAGGCACGAGGTCAGGGCTCCATCCAACGTGCCCAGGGGCTCATGAGCCCAGAATGGTGTCGTGTCCGGAAGCAGGCTTTGGGGTCAGCGCTCTGGAGGCAGACCCACCTCCAGCTTCACAGGGCTGAGGTGGCAGCAAGAGCAGACCCAGCACACAGCAAGACCCAGCACGCGCGCGGAGGGCCAGGGAAGGACATGTCCTACCAGGTGGTGGGCGCCCGCCCCACCTGCCCCGCTCACCGAGTTGATACAGCCTAGCTCCTTGTTGAGCAGCCAGGGCAGAGAGAGCTTGCCCTCGCCACGGTAGCAGGACTGGATGCGCTCCTTGATCTTCTCCTTGATGGCCCTGAGGGTGAACAAGCACAGCGCCGACTCTTTGGGCGGCTTCACACGGTTCTTCTGGCCCTGGGCGAACACGGTGAACAGCACATCCTCATCCTTGGCCAGGCCCAGCTGGCGGGCCAGGGTCTGGCCGGGCCGGCTGAGGTAGGCGTCCTGCACCAGGCGGTACTCCACACCGGCCTGCTCGCAGCCGATGGGGAACTCCACGTAGGAGTAGAACTTGGGGTCATCCACGCACAGCCGCACGATCTTGGAGGTGAAGAAGTGCTCGCCTGCAGCGTCGGGCGAGGTCAGCTGCGTATCCAGCTGCAGGGTGAGGTAGTAGACGAACTGCTCGCTGCGGAAGCTGTACACATAGTAGATGTCGAAGGCTGGGAACTTGGACAGCGTGTCTGATGGGATCTTCAGCTGTGAGGACACAAACTCATCCTGGTACACGAAGCCGAACATGTCAGCATCCTCCTCGTTGGCCATGAGCCGGCGGCTGGACAGTGTGGGGAAGTACTCGGACTTGCCATCGATGGGTGTGCCCACAAAGAGCTTGGCCTGGCCCTGACCCAGTGGCCCAGCGATGAGCACACCTGCCATGCTACCAGCCTCACGCACGCTCGACAGGTAGTGCTCCTTGCGGTGGTGCGGCTCGCCCAGCTTGAAGAGGTCGTCCAGCCGCAGGAACTGGCAGATGCCCTGGGAGGCGCTGCCGCAGGCCAGTAGGCGGTTGGCGGCATAATCCAGCAGCAGCAGCTTATTGACGTTGTCGGTGCTGCCCAGGCCATGTGGGCATGACTGCACACTGGGGGGCGGGTAGCACTTCTCGTTGTCCTCCACAGGGCCTGTCACGTGGGCCCGCAGCAGCGTCAGGTTCCCAGACAGCTTGTAGATGCGGTTCACGGCCCCCACGTACACCTCGCCTGTCTGCTCATGGACCACCAGGTGGGTGAGGCCCCAGTCGCTGGCCACGAAGGTGCGGAAGGCAGGGTGTGGACCCCCGCCAGCCCTGGGTGAACCCATGGCAGCATGCACGCCACCCAGGAGCAGGAGCAGCAGCATGGGGAACACACACAGGCTCAGAGGTGGCAGTGGCATGGCGGGCCAGCGCCTGGTGCCTCGGAGCTCAGGTCCTGCAGGGCTAGGCATCACGGGGCCAGGAACCTCAGCCCTGGAAAGAATAGGCAAGAGAGGCTGTGAGTGAGTGTGAGCATAATCTGCGCACCCAGATGCACATCCCATCCCCCGCAAGTGCCCATCCCACATGGCCCCTTGCTCTGCCTGGGAGGAGGCCCTGACACCCTCCACGAGAGCACAGAGACAGAGAGGGCCACTCCTTGGCCCGCTGTCCTGCAGGTGGTGAGCAGCGAGTCAGGAGTCACTGAGACCAAGCTGTGGCCATCACAAGCAGTACAGGATGCCTGCCAGGCAATGGGACGCGCCTATGCCCTGCCTCTGCTAGGGTGCAAGAGAGGAGTGCATCCAGCGGCAGGGACTGGGTGATAGGGCCTGGGTCTAGAGGGGAACCAGCTGACACTCTAACTTGGGGAGCGGCACCCCATGATGGAAAGCCTGCCCATGTCCTGGGAAGCAGGACTCACAGGGTCCAGTCCCAGGGTGGGAAACACCCCTCCCCCCCAGCGGAAGCTATTAGGATGCACGAGACTACTGTCACCCTACAGAGGACACACAGATGGGCTTTGCCACTCAATGCTGCCTTCACACATCCCCACCAAACAGTGGGCCTGAGCCCTGGCAGTCCCATCCTGGCTCCTGGGGCTGTGTCCACCTGGGGGTGGCCTGGGCAAGGGGCAGGAGAGGCCCAGGCCTGTGCGCGACAGGGACACATGGGGCTGAAGGTGGTCTGGTCCTGGCAATCCTTCCAACTGCACCTCAGGTCCCCTGGGTGCCCGTCACAGTTTGATCCCCACTGAGCACTCTCTAACACGTTAAGTATTCCCCTGCGCGCTCGCGCGGACACCATGGTCCCATGGCCACGTGGGCAGTGCTTTTCAGAAGAGCCAGGAGCAGCATGGGCCGCCCTCCATGGGTCCCGCCCTGGGCTCACTCACTGCACTCCAAGACCTGACTCCCATGAGCGGAGAGGAGCCAGGCCGTGTGCGCCTCCCACCACTGCACTCCACTGGCCCTCCTGGCTCTGAGTAGATTTGAACTCAGGCCCTCAGCCTCACACGAATGCCAAGCCAAGAGGAATGGCTCCAAAGGGGAGGGTGGCAGTGGGGTCCCTGGGTCCCTCTTGTCTCTCCGCACCTCAAGTGTTTGTGTGCCAAACCTACACACCCTTGTCCAGAACCTCACCACCCGTCTCCCACACCAGTCTGGACATCTCCGTGACAGTGCCCTCACCACAGGTCACCTACCACATCCTCCCAAACTGCATGCCCACCTGGACGGCATGGCACTCAGCACCTTCCACCCACGTCGCCTGAGCCAGGGCTCAAGGACGCAGCTGCTCAGGCCGCTCCTCTGACCTGTGCAGGAGGCCACAGCAACTGAGCTGCGCTGCACCCCTCACTGCCTTTGGAAAAGCTCGCCTCTTCCCCAAAGAGCAGCAGGCAGCCAGGCAGGCATGGTCAAATCCAGACAGTGTTGTTCTACAGCTACATGGACCTCTCCAGGACTCAGTTTCCCTGTTACACAGAGATGACAACAGCTTTTCTCTTAGGGATGAAAGAGGGATGGTCACAGCCTGCCCCCAAAGTGCTGGTGAAAGTGCCACCCTCTCAGTGCCAGCAGTGGCCCCCCAGACCTGCCCCAGGTGTCATGAGTATGGGTAGGTACCTCCCCAAGAGCCTCCAGACAGTGCCCTCCATGGCCCGGCAGCCCATCTCACAGATGAGGAAACTGAAGCGGAAGACAGAGGGCTCTGCCAAGTCTGACATGGAGCTGGCCACAGTGGGTCTGCCCCATGCCTCCTGTCCTCCCTGGTTGGGGCCACCACCCACACCTCCTCGGGTGTCTGTCAGCAGAGAAGACATCTCCCAGACCTGCTCCTTGTCACCTGTCTCCACCTGCAGTACAGGGCTCCCAAGTGGGTTCTGTCCTTTATTGTTCCCACTCTCCCCAGTAAAACTGCAGCTCTGTATGTCTGCCGGAGCCCAGCCCAGGAGTTAGTAACCAGGAGGCCTTGGTTACTAACTGAACAAATGAATACGTGAATGAATGAAGGGACAAGTCAGCAGAAGACGGCCAGGCCTGGGCAAGGCGACACTGGTCCCTGACTGTGCCCTCCCTCTCCACACACCCTGTCCAGTGTGTGCCCTGGGAGCATCCACTGTTCAAAGAGGTAAACTGAGGCAGGGCCCCAGAAGCAGGGCTGTGTCACTCTGCAGGGCTCCTCCCAACAGGCTGTCAGCTACCTTTCCTGGGCAGACACTGCCTCAAGAACAGTGGCCAGCAGGGGCCCCCACAGGGCGCCAGGACCAGAGTCTCCACCCTCTGCCACCTGCCCCCGGGGCAGCCCACAGCAGACCAGGGAGCCAGAGAACAGGTTTCCTGCAGAGGCAGCAGGCCGGGCTTCGAGCAAGCGGAGTACATGTGAACTCCAAAGAAAACATGAATCACTCAGCGTTTATCAGTTCAAAGCAGGCCTGCAATTACCAGGGGCTGGGCGCTCCCCTCCTCCGGGATAATTACACACGTCTTAATGCAATTATGGGCCCTACTTTTCATATTAAACAGGAGGGACCCTGCTGAAGAAGCCACCATCCAAACTCCAGTCCAGCCCTGGGCCCACTACGACCCAGCAGTGGCTTCCAGGAAGGGGCTGGCTTAGAGCACAGGGCTGCTGGCTTGGAGAGGGGGGGCAGCCCAAGCCATGGCTGGGTCCCCTGGGCCCAGTATGGAACAAGGACCAGAGAGGATGCCCAGGCTACTTCCGCTGCCCCAGAGTACTGGAATGAGAGCTCCGACACAGCCAAGGTCACCTGGCCAGACCTAGCAAGGCAGGGACACTGGACAGCCAGGTACCCTGCTGGCCTCACCTCCACCAGGCCTGGGGGCTGCCCAAGAAAACTCACTCCTCCAAGGCCTGGCTGAAGGCTGGGCCTGCTGGGCGGGGGAGTGAAGCACTGACAGACCCCAGGCTCTAGGGAGACTGGACTGAGCTGGCCCCCACGGGGGCCCTTCCACCTGTTCTGGAAGGACCGGGCACACTGGGTATTGGTGGGAATAGGGGCCTGGGGCCTGGCATACACGGGGCAATGCACGGGGCCACAGCTTCCCACATGGGCAATGGGCTCAGAGTCACAGCCACACCACAGGGCGAAGGTGGTGTGGGGGTGGTCCCACAGGGGCAGCCTGGGGTGGGGAGGCCAAGCTCCCAGCAGGCAAAGGCGAGGCCCAGGGGCCAGGCAGTCCACTCCTCACAGGACGGAACACCTAACTGGCAGAATTGGCACAACAGTCACCCCATCCCTCTCTCGGCCTTGGACTATACCATGACTCCTCATCCTGAGAAACAAAGGCCCAGGTCCTCAGCAAAGAGACAAGCCTGCTGGCCATGGCCTCCCACTCTGGGTCCTCCTAGGGCACTCGAAGGTTGGGCTTGGGGGATGGGGAAGACACTGGCATTCTGCGAAGTGGCTTCAATCAGAACCCAGGGGAGAGGCTGCCCTTGTCACTGTCCCTCGTCTCTGGGAGGTCACAGGAGGTGGTCCCAAGTGGCCCTGCTCTCCACCAGCCCTTTGGGACCAGGACCTGGGGGCCCTGGAGTTCTGCTCCAGCCTTCTCTGGGGTGCCCTCTCCTCCAGCAGTTGCTCAAAGCCCTGGGACTTTCCTGGGGGTCCAAAAGCACAAGCAGCCACCTGGGGGCCCCAGCAGCCCAGCAAAGGGCCGTGTGCTTTGTCCGTGGGCACCTTCTCTCCCTCCCCAGAGTGCACCCCACAGCCACAAGGACTGGCCAGCCCAGTCCAGAGCCAGGTCTCCACCCAGGCTGTCCCGGCGGCCTGACTCAAAAGCTCCTGGGCCCCTCCCAGCTGCCTGGCTCACACCTCTGCCTAGGGCACTGGCTGGGTATTCCTGCAGGGCTGGGCAGAGCTAGCGTGGCACCATCCTCCCAGTACACCCCAAACTAGAGGACAGGAGGACACCTGGGAATGCTCCCTAAGGGCCAGGGGAGCAGTCTGTGCCTATGGAACACAGAGTGCCAGACTCAGGGTGAGGAGGTGGGGCAGCAGGGACACCCCGGGAAGCCGGGAGCCGGACTGAGAGGGCACAGGCTTGGCTTTGTCCCCCACCCCCCTCCGCTTCTTTCAAGGGGCGTGGCCCCCAAATCCCACAGATAAATCAGCTGCGCCCCCCCCCCCGCCCCGTCCCGCGCATCCCCCTTTCCAGGTCTGCACCTGGAAGCTCCGGTGGAGGTAGAGGAGCCTGTCCGAGGTCTGAGCTCCTGTTCTCGGGGCAGCCCTCAGTCGGCTCGCGCCGCCGAAGCCGCCCGCACAGCACCAGGCCCGGGTCCGGCCCGGAAGCCCTGGAAGCCTCGCAGGGAGGCGGACGACCCGGGGAGGCCCGGCGAGGGGAGGCCGCGGAGGCCGAGTCGGGCGCCTCCCGGTGGCACCGCACCCTCCCGCCCTCGGGGCTTTGCGGGCCTGGGCCGGACCCGGACCCGGCGGAGGACTGAGAGGGACGTGGGCCGCAGAGCAGCTCCAACTTCCACCCGCGCCCAGGGTGCAGCCCCCAGCCTGGCCCGCTCGCGCGGCCCTGCCCACGCCGGAGCCCGCCGGCCCGATGCCCGCCAGCACCGAGGTCCAGCCGCGATGCAGCCCAGGTCCAGCTCGCCAGCCTGGCACCCGCGGGGCCCTCCCGGCCAGGCTGCGCAAACTTTCCCCGCCGCGGAGGAGGGGCCGCGCCCGCTGTCCCGTAGCGCTGCTGCGGGGCTGGGGCAGGCCAGGCCAGGGAGGGGAGGCCGTGCGGGGCCTGGGACCGCGGTCTGATCGGCGCCGGCGCCGCAACCGCGCCCGGACATACACGGACGCCGGGCCCCGCCGCAGGGACACGCGGGCCGCGGACACGCGCGCCGCAGTCCCCGCGCACGCCCCCTGCCCGGCGCAGCGAGGCGCCCCCGCCCGGTACGGTGCACACCCGCCAGGAAAGCCAACCGGCCCGGCCTGAGTCCCGGTGACCGACCGCGCCCGGCCCGGCCCTGCGCCCGGCCCGGCTCCCCGCCCACCGCCCGCCGCGCAGCACCGCGGGGAAAGTTGCGCCCCTACTCACCCGCCGCCCCGGGGCGCGCCCCGCTGCCGGCCATCGCCGCGCCCCGCTGCCACCCGACCCGCTGCGGGGCCGCTGAAGCCGCGCAGGCCGCCCAGGCCAAGGCCGCCGCGCCCGGGCTCCGCTGCGTGGCCGCACGGCCGCTGCCCAGCATGAATGGGGC